CAAATGGCAGACTCATGCCCCTTAGAAGGAAAGGCGCCGAGTCCAAGTCGTGCATCACTGTGACACAGAGACAGCTGCTACTGGAGGTGCCCCAAAGCTCGACCACAGAGCAACCATCGCCCCCTACTGGCAGCAGACTGATGTACAGGTTGAGCTGATACTGGAGTGACCTCGGCTAGACCACAGAGCAACCATCGCCCCCTACTGGCAGCAGACTGATGTACAGGTTGAGCTGACACTGGAGTGACTTCGGCTAGACCACAGAGCAACCATTGCCCCCTACTGGCAGCAGACTGATGTACAGGTTGAGCTGATACTGGAGTGACCTCGGCTAGACCACAGAGCAATCAACGCCTCCTACTGGCAGCAGACCGATGTACAGGTTGGGCTGATACTGGAGTGACCTCGGCTAGACCACAGAGCCATCAACGCCTCCTACTGGCAGCAGACTGATGTACAGGTTGAGCTGATACTGGAGTGACCTCGGCTAGACCACAGAGCAATCAACGCCCCCTACTGGCAGCAGTCTTGACACCCGCCGCTTGCAGGCCAGGTGCTGAGTCCACCATGTGCCGCGGCAGGGACCGCTGGCACCGGAGGGGGGGGGGGGTTGCCCCATCGAACGTGCCGAGAAGCGACGTCGTAGCGCTCCGGGACAGCCGTGACGCACAAGGCGAGGGCGGCATTGCCCAAGGGCAAACTCGAGACATCACGATTACACGCAGCGAGGGGGGCACCTGGCATCAGCGGGGCAGCTGTGCATGGTCACAACAGAGCTCTCGGGCGCGCGATCATCAACAGCCCTTCCACGCAGACCGCAGGCGGCAAAAGCAGGCACCAGGCCTGGTCAGGCCCAGGCCTAGCGCCTGCTTTTTGCGGTATCGGGCAGCTGACTCACGCTCGACGCGGATGATCGATGAGGGCTGGCCTTGTCTCGCTAGGCCCGCTAGGCCCGCTAGGCCCGCTAGGCCCCGGGCAGAAGCCTGCGACCCAATTCATTGCTAATGAACAAAGAAGGAAGGAGCGGCGGTCGGACCTGGAAGCTCTGCGATTGGTTGAAGGAGAGCTGCCCGTAGTGCCTGGGGGCACCGTGCGGTGTGGAGGAGGGCGAGGGGGGCCCTCATCCATCCAGTAGCGTATGGACAGGAGTCCTCATGACTATTTCGGCATATGACCAATGGGTTTGCAGCCTGCACCCACGTGACAGTCCGACCACGGCCCATGGGATTTGCGTTGGCTGCCGAGGGTGACAATCCAACATGCACTGACCTGGAAGCTCTGCGATTGGCTGAAGGAGAGCTGCCCATAGTGCCACTGGTTGCCGTAGTTGCCCTCCTTGGACCACAGGGGAACGTCGGCCGCTCCCTCCGTCCGTAGGGACAGGGAGAGACGATAGACATTCCGCCCGTACATGTAGTACCTGCAGACAGGAAACACACAGGGGGACACGAGAGACACAGGTATGAAGACACGGGATACACAGGGAGATGCACAGGGACACACACACACAGGGACACACGCAAAGGAACACACACACAGAGACACAGGGACATAGGGATATGGGAATGACTAATGTCGACCTCGGTTACGCCCATTTGCTTCAACGTTGGGTTACGTTTGGCCAAGTGATGACGTTGCATTTGGCCAACTAAACATTGGCCAAACGTAACGCTCCGATTGCTCTTTGCCTCATTGCCCTGCGGTATTTTGAATGCATCCATCAATAACTCTTCACGCGGCCTCAGAATTAAAAGAAGAAATTACAATGGGAGACGTTTTGGGCGATGGCCCTTCTTCATGGCACATCCATGCGTCGCCTATTATGTCAGTCGGCAAGTTACTCGGTGACTTGGCAAGGAATGAACGAGTAGAATGTAATAATCCACGACTTTAATATTGATAACATCAATGAAAGTAAATTGCCTTAATAACAAATTGTATTACATGTGAACAAAGTAAATACACCTACCTCAGCCACAGTCCGGTTGAAGGACATGGAGTGATGATGTCATGGTGGCCATATTGCATGGGCGTCGTCATGGCGCCCATGCAATATGGAGGCTGTAATGTTGGCCATGTTGCATGGGGAACGTCATGGGAACCACATTGCATGGAGCTGTCTTCCTAGCAGCCGATTGGCCATTGCGGTGAGAGTGATGATGCAATCCCTAGCAACCACTGCCTTGCCCCGAGATTTGCGATCTCACCTCGGATGAATAATTTTCACAACAAAAATCACGGTTTATCCCACGGGATGTTGAGGTCTACTGCATTGCCTACACTTAGGGCCTCCTGTTTTCCAGCCAATTCCGCACAACTCTACGGAGTCCGTAAGGGCACACGAGGAAAGTCCGTGCCCCTCGACACATTTGTGTCTTCCTGCAGCTTCCAGTTGTGATGACAACTTCCTGTTCACGGGGGCGTCTGGGAGCTTCAACCCCGTGAGAAGCTACGACAACAACGCCAACTGGATTGTTCAGTGGGTGCCTGGGCGAGTGGGTGTGTGTGTGGGTTGGTGAGTGCACGAATCGAATTAGTGGGTGAGTGCATGAGTGAGAGGTTGAGTGAGCGGTCAAGTTACTACGAGTGGCGCGTCGGAGCTGTGTCCATCATCATCAAATGCACTTTGACTTTCAAGAAACCTCTAAAGCCCTCTGTCTGTCTGGGTCAGGCTTTCGAGCAGCCCTGAGCTTGGCTCCCGCACCTCTGAGTTGTTGACTTGTCTGCAAAATCTGGCGCATTATAAATGTCATCATTATTATTATAGCTACCCACACCCTCTACACGGCCCCGCCTGTATAGCGATTGCTAAGGGGGCTGCTCGTGAAGTGTGTCATATTCACCAGAACTTGAGGCACGTGGGGATGGGTTCGGGGTCCAAGGTAAACGTGCGGATGCTTGTGGCGGTGCCGCTGTTCTGGTTCCGGATGTAGAACCCTGCGGAGGGGGGGGGGGGAAATCAGGAAAAACAATCATGCAAACGCATGGTTTTGTAACAAGACTGTGCATATGTGTGGCACGGCGTGTTGAGTAGGGGAACGGCAGTGTAGCGGTTTGATTCCTGCTCACGGCCAACACCAGTGAACATTATTTGAACAGGTCATGGGCCTCCCCTCTAGGTCGACTCAGCCTTAACTTAGTACCTGGTGCGGTGTGAAGTAAACATCGCCACTGGGGGGACAACGGCGGCCGGGCGTGGTGCTGGCCACCCACCCCCGGCTGCTTCCAACAGTAATCCGTCTGTTGTCTTTGTACGATTGTGATGGGACTTTGTAGGATGAACGTTGAGATTTGTAAGGGCACGGGGTGGCCAATAAGGTCTGAATTGGTCTGTAATAAGGTAGGGCACTGATAAGGCATTGACAGGTATGTGGTAGTGTAGTGTATAGTGTAGTGTATAGGATGAACGTTGAGAATTATAAGGGCACGGGGTGACCAATAAGATCTGAATTGTTGAGATTTATAAAGGCACGGGTTGACTAGGCCACTGAAAAGGGGTTCACAGGTATGATAACACTATGGTACATGTCGCTTTAATGTGGTTGTTGCGGAAAGATGTATGGTACAGTATCCGATCACAGTCGTTAGGTAATTCTAAAGCGGCGAGTTCACCAAGGTGGTCATCGTGTTGCGCCAGAGTTAACGCCGTGAAGGCCGTTAACATTGGTTGAAAACTTGGTTGAAAACTTCAAATAATAACTTTGGATCTTTACGGTGCATCGTGCCTAAATAGGGGACTCCAAAAATGGACGTCAACGGTATTTTGGCGGGAAATAACCCGTGTAGGTGTTAACTCCGGCCACCAGGGGCGATGGTGAAGCTAGCGTCAGGGCGGGAGTGATGGCGGCCTGGCGTCTGTTTATTTCATTGTTATCCGGCGTGAATGCTCCACTAAGCTGCGGTGTCGCTGTCTATCGGAAGCGACCCTGGCCGTCGCAAATGATAGATCACCATCGTCGTCGTCGTCGTCGTCGTCGTCGTCGTCGTCGTTATCATCACGCGGACATTTATCACGGACAAAGAATCTAGACGCGTTGGTGACATCGATTCTAAACGTGGAGGGGAAAAGAAACGGAAGACCCGGAGAACGATCCACGCGGCCACGGGGAAGAACACGCCAACTCCAAATACACAGCAGCAGGCGTCTGAGGGGCAGGATCGAACCCAGGACCTCCTGTATACTAGGCGAGGTAGTTAACATCTCCTAGCCACCGTGGCCCACGTGTTACAGCATGTGCTGTAACACGTGGGCTCACAGCTGAGCGCGACGTACTCCTACAGTACAGATAAATGTGGAGTCACCGAACTGGACGTAAAATGCTCTCCAGTTAGGAAGTGCTACCATACGCATCGTGTTGTACCCAAGGCGTCCTGCATACCCATGGTTTTGTAACAAGACTGACAAGACGAGCTTGGCTTGACAGCGCTGCTCCTCGATCTCTACTCTTCGGCATCCCATCGTGCGGAAAAACACAAGCCTCTGCGTTGCGTGTGCGTGCGCACCTGACGAATTCCCAAAGGTGTGGTCCACGTCTGGGCCGGTGCTGGCTGGAGAGCTGGGCCCGCTCAACCGCTCCCAGTCGGCGCTGTCGTAAGGGTCCTGGTCCCAGTAGCACCAGCCCGACTCGAAGGAGCAGTCCACCAGCTCCTTGTCTGCACGCAGACAAAGAGTGGGTGAGTGAGCAGATGAGGGTGGGTTGGGTGGTTGTGTGTGTTGGGTGGGTGAGTGGGTGGGCGAGTGAACTAGTGGGTTAGTGGGTGGTTGAGGACTCGTTAGTCCGGAAAAGTCTAGCGCGGTGAAGGGAGTGAGTGGGTGAGTGAGTGAGTGAGTAAGCGGGCGAGTGAGTAAACTAGCAGGTGAGTGAGCGAGTGGGTGAGTGAGTGAGTGGGTGAGTGGGTGAACAAGTGAGCGGGTGAGTAAACTGGCGGGTGAGTGAGCGAGTGGGTGAGTGAGTGAGTGGGTGAAGTACTCGTGAGTTGGGAGAAGTCGAATGCGGTGAAAGAGACGCTGAAGCCTCCTCGCACTTGGCTGCTGTCGGAGGTGAACTCCACGGTGAGCTCGTTAGCGAAGGCCCGCACATCACCAGGGTTGTTCGTTCCCGTCAACGAAGCTGTCACACGGAGAGAGATAGAGACAGAGACCAGCTCAAGTTTTTTTCTGAACCCCTGTTTCAGATCCCGGAAAAGCTCCCCTCTAGGAAAGCAGCGGAGGGATGGGGGGGGGGGGCAGGTGGAACGAAACGTCAGACGTCGCAGCGATCATTAGTTTGTTCGACGGACAGACGGACGGTTGTCAGACGCACGGACGGCAGAGCGCGCTCACCCAGCCTCTCCTTGGCGGCGCCGATCCCCTTGTAGATGTTGACAAAGTCGTACCGGTCTTCGAGATCAAACGCCGAGAAGGTGAACTGGACGGCATAGCCCTCCGGGGCGCTGTTGGAATAACGTCACGACGGTCAAGACTGTTGCCCGGCACAAACCGGCTTCAGAAGGAACGGACGGGAGGAGGGTGAGTGGGTTGAATGACGAGGAGGGAATGAATGGAACAGCGCCTCTTAGTCATTCACTTCACTCACCCAACCATTAACTCACCCATTCACCCACTCGCTCACTCACCCACACATTCGTCACCCACCCACCCACTCACTCACTCGCTCACCCACCCACTAACTCATTTGCCCAATCACTCCCTCACCCACCCACCCACCCACCCACTCATTCTCCTACTCACTCACTCACTCACCCAACCATTAACTCACCCATCCACCCACTCGCTCACTCGCTCACACACTCGCTCACCCACCCACTCACTCACTCACCCAACCATTAACTCACCCATTCACCCACTCGCTCACTCGCCCACACATTCGCTCACCCACCCACTCACTCGTTCACCCACCCACTAACTCATTCGCCCAATCACTCCCTCACCCACCTACCCACCCACTCACGCACTCTCCTACTCACTCACTCACTCACACAACTATTAACTCACCCATCCACCCACTCGCTCACTCGCTCACACACTCGCTCACCCACCCACTCACTCACTCACCCAACCATTAACTCACCCATTCACCCACTCGCTCACTCGTCCACACACTCGCTCACCCACCCACTCACTCACTCGCTCACCCACCCACTAACTCACCCATTCACCCACTCGCTCACTCGCCCACACACTCGCTCACCCATCCACTCACTCACTCACCCAACCATTAACTCACCCATCCACCCACTCGCTCACTCGCTCACACATTCGCTCACCCACCCACTCACTCACCCAACCATTAACTCACCCATTCACCCACTCGCTCACTCGTCCACACACTCGCTCACCCACCCACTCACTCACTCACTCACCCAACCATTAACTCACCCATTCACCCACTCGCTCACTCGCCCACACACTCGCTCACCCATCCACTCACTCACTCACCCAACCATTAACTCACCCATCCACCCACATGCTCACTCGCCCACACACTCGCTCACCCACTCACTCGCTCGCTCACCCACCCACTAACTCATTCGCCCACTCACTCCCTCACCCACCCACTCACTCACTCTCCTACTCGCTCACGAGCTCAACCACCCCGCATGCCCAAAAACCCTCCCACCCACCGGATGATCCAGCGGCAGTTGGCGTTGTCCTCGTAGTTGCCGGGGAAGTTCATGGAGTTGAAGCTCCCGGACGTCCCCGTGAACTGGAAGTTGTCGTCGCAACCCGACGCTGCAGAGAGACACACACACGTGTCGTTGGTCACGGACGTTCCTCATGTGCCCTTACGGACCCCGTAGAGCTGAGAAACCAGGAGGCCCCAGGTATAGGCAATGCTCGTAACATCCAGCTAGGCTGCAATTATAGTAGGCTCCGAAATACCGTGGGATAAGCCGTGATTTTTTTGTGGTTAATTATGTGAATCCGAGTAAGATCATGAATCTGGCAGACATGGCGCAATCCTTCATTCACACAATCCTCTCTCTCCTCGTCTGCCCTGGACATACGTCTGGTCAACATGGGCGAATAGGCCAAAAAAAAAACCGTGGAGAGGGGGCAGCTTTGTAGAGCTCCCTCCGTCGAGTGAGGGCTTTGCACCAGCAGGGCATTGCAGGGTGCGGCAGTGGCGAGGAGATGTAATCTTCCTGGCCTAGCATGCAGGAGGCCGTGGGTTCGATCCCGGACCCTGATGAAGCCTGTGGTATGTTTGCAGTCCGTTCGTTCTCTCTCTCTCTCCGTGGTGGTCGTGTGGACCGTTCTATGGATTCCTACGTGCACTTAAGATGATTTGGCTGGTTCTATAAATTGTTCCCACACGTGATAGGAGTGACGCCGATGAGCTATCATCGCGTGTGTGACCAAGTTGCCTCTCTGACAAAGAGCTAATAGCTCGGTGGGCTTTGGTAAAATAAAATAATCACGACATTTCGATCGCAACACAAGCATTCCTTCAAAGGTGGGAACACCACAGCAAAAGAAAAAATGCTGTGGTGTTCCCACCTGATGAGGTTTCCTTGTGTTGCGATCGAAACGTCGTGATTTGTTTTATTCTATGTTATATTACACTGGTCAACAAAAAAAAAACATTTTTTTCGGGCCTAGACTCTTGCAGCTGTTCTAGACTAATTTCAGGGTGCTGATTCCAAATCTGATCTCAGATTTGCTCTATCGCATCATTTTTATGCAATCGGCATACCCCATTTTCATTGATTTTACCCGAAATTAACTCCGTCACTTATGATTGCAAGTTGTTGCGAGTCAGTGACTGCTTTATTGTTAAAATATGGTGCTGTATTTTTAGGATAGTGTGTTTATAATATCATTTTATGTAGATATCCACATTTATTTAATATTTTTCTTCTGCAATTTTTATTGAAAATGCAATATTTGATATCTCAAAAACCTGATGTGATAGACAAAAACTGATGCCAGATTTGGAATCAGCTCCCCAAAATTACATTAAACCCGTTGGAATACCTTATGCCAGAAAAGGTGTGTTGACCAGTGTTATTTTATTTCTTCCTACGTGACTTTACCGAAAGAACCAAAGAGTATGGATTCCTGCCGTCACGAAAGCATAAAATCAAGAGTGTAAAATTTAGTTTCTACCCGTACCATATGCACGGTTTTGTGCAGTCTACCTAGTGCCGTCGGGGGTTGAATATTGTGGGTGAAATGCGAATTGAATGAATGAGGAGGGCGATGCTAGAGGGGTGTGTCCCCCTCCTTCTCGACTTACTGCAGGAAATTTCGTCGGAGGCGTCGTTGCAGTCGTTGACGCCGTCGCAGCGAGCGGACAGGGGGATGCACGAGATGTCCGCGCACACGAACTGACCCGCGGGACACGGGGCTACGCGCGCGCAAAGAGAAAAACACGCACACACAGTTTTTAGTGGTTTTGGGGTTATTTTCAGTTTTTAGTGGTTTTGGGGTGTTTTTTTCGGTTTTTAGTGGTTTTAGGGTATTTTCAGTTATTGGGTATTTTTTCAATTTTCAGTGGTTTTGGGGTATTTTCGTCTATTTTTAGTGTTTTTTTTTCTTCAGTTTTTAGTGGTTTTGGGGTTTTTCAGTTTTTAGTGGTTTTGGCACGAATGCACACACATTCACATAGAAATTTAGCATCACACAGCGGCCAAGCTGATGCTGGCACGAGTAGTTTCACGGAGCATACATTACAGAGTTTGCCTTTCGTGGGACCCTGGGTAATTTGTTGATTAATTAAGTAGATCAGCCTCAACTAGGCTTATGTCATCCACAACAGGGTGAAGGCACACTGCATAATAGGTTGACTACTAAAGTACATAAGCCTTACGTAGGCCAATGGCATCTACAACAGAATAGAGTGACCCTGAGTCATCCGTTGATGTCTAGAATTGATAAGCCTGAAGTACCATTGGAACCTCATTTGTATGGCAAATGAAGTTCCAATGGTGTAAATGCTTACCCCGAGCTCTGATACTCTGATGGTGCATTGTCTTTGAGTTGTGCGCCTTTTGGCGTCATCTGGTCCAACCCATGTGAGACTAGGCTCTAAGGAAAGCTGTCTCGGGTGTGGACCAATCAACTTCAAGGACAGTGCATATATTATCAGAGTTATGTTTTTTGTTTGCATTATGGCTGCAGGTACTGTGGTCTATGCAGACATGACTCCTTGTAAAAGAAGGTGTCAGTTTTGTTGCCAGATGGAAGGGTAAAAAAACAATTATCAAGCCTGAAGTAGGCCAATGGTCTCTACAACAGGACAGAGTGACCCTGAGTCATCCGTTGATGTCTAGAATTGATAAGCCAAGAGTAGACCAATGGCTTCTACGTGATCCTATGCTGATGCAGCCACACAACCACTTATTCCTACTCGAGCTACGTAGTAATAATCCAATTCGTGTTCCAGAAAATATGTTCTCTAATATATTGATCGCATCATATCCAATTCATATTATGAAAATACGTGTTATAGGAGAATAGACTGTACTTTTAAAATCTATACTCTTAGGTTTTTTTCGGTAAAGTCACGTAGGTAAAAATAAAAAATAAAATAAAAATAATATAAATAATAATAGAAATACAATAAAAAATCACGACGTTTCAGAGGCAACACAAGTCTCCGTCATCAGGTGGGACCGTCACAGCTAGATTTACTGTATCAAGTGAGGCCATGATTTATAATTGTATTTCTATTTATAATTTTATTTCTATTACTATTTCTATAATTTTTTTATTATTATTTATTTTTTACCTACGTTACTTTACCGAAAAAACCTAAGAGTATGAATCCTTGCAGTCACGAAAGCTTCAAATCTTTTTTAATCTGTTTAAGTTTACAATACATTGAGCTGAAACGGTGTGCCATGTGATCATCGTCTGACCTGTTTGGTTGTGGCGGGGTGGTGGAGGGCCTTGACAACACCAAAATTTGGCCGGACTACAACGTTCTAGATTTGAAGCTTTCGTGACTGCAAGGATTCATATTCTTAGGTTTTTTTTGGTAAAGTCACGTAGGTAGAAAATTAAAATTAATAAAAGTAATAATAAAAATAAAAGTAAAATAATTTTATTTTTATTTTACTTTTATTAATTAAAATGTTTTACCTACGTGACTTTACCGAAAAAACCTAAGAATATGGATTACAACGTAGCGGCCTCACTCAAAACCGCCGTTACAGATCACGGTACAGGGCCACGACAAACCCCATCTGTGTTAACCTTCAAACACGAGGCGATTCATCCAGCCACAAGCCACGGAACATTGCGGGGGGAGATCACTCACGGGTGGTGGGTATTATAGGGGTGGGCAGAGGATAGGGCAACTCCGGGCAGGCCCCAGGCTCCAGCGAGATGTCGTCCAGCGCTATCTCACTGCTGCCGGGCCTCCGCCGGGCCTCGAACACAACCTGCAATGGAGAAAGAAAAAACGTCAACCGATGCAGAAAGACCTCGTTGTGACCAGGGGCGGCCCTAGACTAGCTTGCCAGCGACTGGCGCTATAGGGCAAAGCCACGTAATAGGTGCACCCCCCCCAAACCCCAAGGGCAGATCTAGGCTGAGCGTTTTTTGGGTGAACTGTGAAAAATGGTGCTCCTATTTTCAGTTATTTTAACCGTATGTTTTTAAACAGAGGCATCATTATTTGATTTTTCCTTCCATCCGTCTGTCCGAACGATACAGTCTCAGAAATGTTTGGAAATGTATTATTATTCGTATTCCCTCTGTAAACGCACGGGAATTGAAATAATGACATCGTCGTTATTTCATTTGTATTTTTTACCTCGAATTTGGCGCCCCCCCCCCCCCCCCCCCCCCACTTAATTTGGCACCCTAGGCGACTGCCCTACTTCGCCTTTATGGATGGGTCACCCCTGGTTGTAACGCGGTAGGTGCGTTGTTGAAAAGTGCTTAGCCCAATGGGCCTTGGCCAGCCGAGTCTATGAGTCTCTATGTAACTTTATAGATCCTTGTGTAACTCTGCAGAGCTCTATGTAACACGAGATAGATATGTGTTACTCTATTAGACTTTATGCAACAATGGATATTCCTGTAACTCTATAGATATCTGTGTAACTGTATGGATCTCTACATAATTCTACCTAACTGCAATGTCCTGTAGCTGCCGGCACTGCCTCGGGCTGTGGTCGTCCTGGTAACAGGGGCCTTAGCAGCTGGAATCATAAAGCCTGAGTTGAATGATCGGACCTGGAAGTTCTGTGATTGGCTGAAGTTGAGCTGCCCGTAGTGCCACTGGTTTCCGTAGTTCCCCTCCATGACCCACAGGGGAACATCGGCCACTCCCTCCGTCCGCAGGGACACGGAGAGGCGATAGACGTCCACCCCATTCATGTGGAACCTGCGCATAAAGACACACAGGAGGGATGCACAGAGGGATAGAGACGCAGGGATGGACATACACGCAGACACATGGGGGGCGGTAATGGGAGAGAGGTCACGTGGGAGATGCGGGTTGCAATGACAGCAGCAGCGAAGGAGCGGGAAGCCGCCTGCCTCATGTCTGTACGAGATGCGAGAGTAAAGCTAACGGTAACAACACAAACCAACGCTGAAGCTGCGCGTAAACCACGTGACTCGTGATAATGGGTTTTTTCCCTTTTTTCTGGCAACAAAACAGGTGTTAAGATGTTAAAACACCAAACTGAAACCTTTTACAAGTGACTCCTGTGTGGCCACCCCCCGCTCTGAACCCCTCCCATCTACTCGACGTCGCCGCCCACTGTGAAAACACACTCTACTCTTCCTCCTCCTCCATACAGCTCCCTTCTGCTCCTTCATCGTCTCCTTCTCTTCATCCCACCACTCTCTTCGTGTTCATCGCCCTCTCGTCATCCATGACATCTTGAGCCCCTCCCCGGTCATCAGTTCTCCAGCCCCGCTCCTTCTTCTTCTCTCTTCCCGCTGCTGCTCACCTTGAGCCCTGTGCCCTCCTTCACTGTGTCCATCTTGGGGGGCTTCCACCCCAGACTCCCTTCCCTTTCTCGCTCATCTCACGCCACCCGCACCCCCCTCCCCCCCTCGCCTGCTCGCCCTCTTGCGCGACAGACTGCACTCGCCCACCCGTGCACTGTGGTGCGGTGCCACGGCCACGGCGTTTAACAACAATAACAATAATCGACATCGCCAGATTCACAATCGGCAAAGCGTTATTCAGTCGCACAGATGGCCGTGACGTGCGGTCGTATTCACCAGAACTTGAGGCACGTGGGGTTGGGTTCGGGGTCCAAGGTAAACGTGCGGATGCTCGTGGCGACGCCGCTGTTTTGATTCCGGATGTAGAACCCTGCAGAGTGGGGGGACACCAGGAAGAACAATCATGCAAACGGACGGATTCCATAATGCTGTCCGACATGCGCTTGTCTTTTTAGCGCTGGTTATTTTATCCCTCTCCCAGGTGCGCACCCGACGAGTTCCCAAAGGTGTGGTCCACATCCGGGCCAGTGGTGGGTGGAGAACTGGGACCGCTCAGCCGCTGCCAGTCGGCGCTGTCGTAGGGGTCTTGGTCCCAGTAGCACCAGCCCGACTCGAAGGTGCAGTCCACCAGATCCTTGTCTGCACGCAGACAAAGAGTGGGTGAACTAGTGGGGTGGGCAGGGGTGGGGTGGGAACTCGTGAGTCGATTGCAGTGAAGGGTGTAAGTAAGTGCACACAGACAAAGAGTGGGTGAGCTGGTGAGTCGGTGGGCGAGCAGGTGAGTGAGTGTGAGTGGGCCACTCTGCTCTCGCTGGCCGTACTTGTGAGTGCCGAGATGTCGAACGCGCTGAAGGAGACGTTGAAGCCGCCATACGTTTGGCGGCTGTTGGAGGTGAACTCCACGGTGAGCTCGTGGGCGAAGGCCCGCACATCGCCGGGGTTGCTGACTCCGGTCAACGAAGCTGTCACAGGAAGTGAACGAGGGAGAGAGAGACAGACATGGCGAGAGAGGGGCATACAGAGAGATGGAGAGACGCACATGACAGAGACACGGAGAGAGACATGGTGAAGGGGAGGTAAAATCTACGCTTGACTCTAGTTCATTGAAAACACGGCGGTGACCGAGTGGCGTGCATTGGCGGCTCCTGAAAAGATGTTGCTGAAGCGAAGTGTCTTGCCTCACGGCAGATGTGGAGCGTACATTCACAGGAAGTTCCTGTTTTTATGCTAATTTTGGTCACGTGACCAGGAAGTTACGATTTTAGATTTCCACTGTACCACGCGCGCGTCGGCCATTACACAGATAAGTCAAGATGGCGGCATGCATCGCATCTCAGTGAGACCACAGCCGCACTTGTCCATTGTGGGAGCTTAAGAAGCGTTGTCTGTAAGTTGTTTATATTCCTATAATATTGGCAATGCTGTTGTAATGTTGGAATGACCGTTATAGTGATGTAAATGCCTTTATGGTGACGTTAAGTTGTTGTAGTAAATACGAGGCCTAGTTAGTAACGAAGCCTGCAACTTTCCTTATTGTGGATGTTACTTGTGATTTAGTAGGTCGAGTCAGACTTGTGCCTATGTTGCGATCCTGAGAGTAAAGATAACGAAGTATCTCATCCACAGTTTAGTGGTATGTGTAAATGCTGTACATTTGGGGTGCAGTGGGATGAATACACGATGTGCCTCTATGCAACGCACCGGCTTGTGCTTTGTCTAGTTGTTCAGTGGTAATGTAGGGGCCTGGTCCTTCCAGGATCTATTGTTATCTAAGACAATGTTCTGATGTTGTGGTGTTCATTGTGTGGGTGTTTCCGGATTATAACAGATGCTGTATCTGTGTTTTCTCACCAGTTTTACCTTGTTACAATCAATAAATGACGATTGGAGTTGGACGTTCATCCTGGCTCTGAGGGTTTATTGAACGCAAGGTTATCTATTCAACTAGCGGTGCAACGCAGCGCACAGCGAGGCCGAGATACGAAGCGATGGTCTGTGGACGGCTGTCGGAACCGTAGATGGCACAATGCGCTCACCCAGCCTTTCTTTGGCGGCGCCAATCCCCTTGTAGATGTTGAAAAAGTCGTTCTGGTTTTCGAGCGCAAACGCCGAGAAGGTGAACAGGATGGCGTAGCCCTCCGGGGCGCTGTTGGAAATAACGGCACGGCGGTCAAGACTGTCGCTCAACACTAGCCGGCTTCAGAGGGAACGCGCGGGGGGAGGGCGAGTGGGTCGCATGTCGATGGGGGGATGAAAGTAATGGCCCCGGGCCAGCACCCACCAGCCACTCACTCATCCGCTCACCCACCCAACCCAACCACCCACCGGATGAGCCAGCGGCAGTTGGCGTTGTTCTCGTAGTTGTCGGGGAAGTTCATGGAGTTGAAGCTCCCGGACGTCCCCGTGAACAGGAAGTTGTCATCACAACCGGAAGCTGCAGAGAGACACACGTGTCCTTGGTCACGGACGTTCCTTCTGTGTCCTTATGGACCCCGTGGAGCCGCGCGGAGATGGTTAGGAACCAGGAGGCCCCAGGCATTGGCAAAGAGCGTAACATCAAGGTAGGCTGTGATTGTAGTAGGCTCCGAAATACCGTGGGATAAGCCGTGATTTGTTGTTGTTAAATATGCGAATCCGAGTAAGATCATGAATCTGGAGGCAAGACGGTGGTTGCTAGGGATTTTGTCATCACTTTCACTGCACTGGCCAATCAGCTGCAAGGAAGACAGCCCCATGCTACGTGGTCGCCATACCGTCCCCCATACAACATGGGCGCCATGACGACCCCCATGACGTCATCACTCCATGCGTTTCAACAGGTCTGTGGCTGAGGAAAACATATTTACTTTATTCATTTGTATTACATATGTTATTAAGGCAATAATTGATGTTATAAATATGAAAGTTGCGAGTAATTATTGTTCTGCTCATTAATTATCGGTTTACTGTTTGCTATACTTTTTGGTTTTTTCGGTAAAGTCACGTAGATAGAAAATTAATAGATCACGATGTTTCTATCGCAACACAAGCAACCGTCATCAGGTGAAACAGACACAGCAGGAGAACCGCTGACAATTGGCGCAGAGAGCGGTCTCCCAACCCACCGCGAGTTTTCCTTCTGAACCTCAACGAGCTTCAGTGTTTCCCAACTCCCTTGGGTGCTACGGTAACGGGTGCCATGGTAACGGGTGCCACACGGTTCAAGTTCAGTTTTATTTATTAGGTATAGCCCTGTGAGCCATTCGGCTCTTGAATCGGGTGCAACTGCAACAAACAAAAAACAAAAACATGAACAAGAAAACATCTTAAAGTGCATATGTGACTAAGTGCAAACAGAAAATCCAAGAAAAGACAGCAAAATATTGCAGAAAAAGCACCATACACCAACGCTGTGTGCAAAAATCCCAGTGGGATGCAAGTCAAACAACAACAACAACCACAAGACAACTTAGATTAAGGCCATCAGTCTTACTCCGTACTACAACAAACAAACATGGCCAAACCAGTAAACTTTTCGAAATCACCTAAATAAAGCAATGAAACAGTGATCATAGGAACTGTGACAGAATTTTCACCATAAACGACAAACAACATGTACTACCAAAATCCTGCAGCCATAGCTGGCTGCATGAGTAACTCCACAACAGCAGGGTGCCACATGGTAACGGGAGCCCCAGCGAGTCATTGCTCACGCCGCGTTCAGGGTCGCGCGAGCCGTTCTGTCGCCCTTGACGAGGGCAAGACCAGAGGGGCAGAGGTCGCAACCGGGTACCCGATACCCGGCTACCCGTTTGCGACCCTGATGTGGTTGGGTATGGGTACGGGTAGGCCTTGAGTCACTGGTGAGTCACCGTTTGTCACTCATTTTCCAACATCTTGTCTCTTCTCACAATTCAAGTTCCTAGAATCAACCCACCCGCGCCTGCAACATGGCTTCATCCCAGAGGTCGCAATCGGGTACCCAATACTCGTACCCTACCCGTACCCGGCCAGGCACGGGTAGCTGAGTATCGGGTAGGGTACTGGTACGGGTACCTGTTTGCGACCCTGGTGCGGCCGGGTACGGGTACAGGTAAGGAATCAAAACCGATTGCGACCTCTGCAGAGCGGTAACTCTTCCCCCTTCCTCTCGACTTACTGCAGGAGGCTTCGTCGGAGGCGTCGTTGCAGTCGTTGACACCGTCGCAGCGAGCGGACAGGGGGATGCATGAGATGTCGGCGCACACGAACTGACCCGCGGGACACGGGGCTACGCACACACACAAAGACAAAGATCCCCCGTGTAGCCTTAACAGACTTTTGGGGGCAAGCGCTGTTCGTGAGCTCCTAACGAAGGCCGGCACGGCGTACAGGGAGGGTGGGTTGGCGAGCACCACGCCCGACCGCCTTTGTCTGCCGAGCGGCGATGTTTACACACCGCACCAGGTGCTCATTTGAGGCTCAGTCGACCTAGGGGAACTAGAATTTTTCATTCTACGCTGGGCAGTAGGGCCTTCTCGAGTGTGGGGCCTAATATCTGGAACTCTCGTCCGTGGGCCCAAAGGTTGGATCTGAGCACCAAACAGTTCAGGATACTCTGCAAGACGCATTTTCTTCCTTTTGGCTTTTCCTTGAGTATGTCCTCTCATTTAGCTTTTTTTTTCACATGTCTTGATTTGACATGTAGAACTACCTTCGTTACATTTATACTGTAAAGTTTTGCGATACCTTCTTTAGTAGGGGCGAGTTTTTACTCAAATTGCATGAATTTGCAAATTGTGAAAACTCTTTAAAGGGCGCTGACCCAAATCTTCTATAAATCGAATGGAAGCCATTTTTAACTACTCGGCCCGCACGGCGATTTGTAACGCGGCCATCAGGAGGAAGACTCACGGGTGGTGGGTATTATCGGGGTGGGCTCAGGGTAGGGCAACTCCGGGCAGGCCCCAGGCTCCAGTGAGATGTCGTCCAGCGCTATCTCGCTGCTGCCGGCCCTCCGCCGGGCCTCAAACACAACCTGCAACAGAGGGGAAGCCGGTAACCAATAACCGTTAACCGAAAATATTGCGAACCGTAACTGACAATTGAAGATAAAGATGATTGTTTTCGACTAAAAACCCGTGATTAGCTTTTTCAGCACTGGAGCAAGTGCATAGTGGAACAGGGGGCATTCGTCCCAACCCCACACAGAGAGGCGCCCAAGGCGGGACTCAAACCTAGGCCCATTTTTGCCATGAGAGCCACAACATTCACCACTGTCGTCCAAAAAAACAACGTGTTGGTGAAGTAACGCCTGGAGGCACCGGGGGGGCCCTGATCCAGTAGTGGATCGAGAGGAGGCTTCATAACTATTTCGGCATATTACCAATGGGTCTGCAAACCGCACCTTTGTAACATTCAGACCACGATCTAACCCTAAAAAAAACCTTTTATGGATGATATTGATTGCAAAAGCCTACGTGTTAAACAGACCATGGCCAATTGGGCTGGTGAGGGTGGCAAATGCCATGCACCGACCTGGAAGTTCTGTGATTGGCTGAAGTTGAGCTGCCCGTAGTGCCACTGGTTGCCGTAGTTCCCCTCCTTGACCCACAGGGGAACGTCAGCCACTCCCTCGGTTCGCAAGGACAGGGATAGGCGATAGACGTCCACCCCATACATGTGGTACCTGCACATTAGGACACACAGACGGGCAGAGTCAGACACAGAGATGGACACAGGGACACAGAGATACACAGGGATGGGCATACTTACACATGAACACACACAAACAGAACAGGACACTCAGCAACACACACATGGATTCTGTTACCAAGCACTGTGTGGAGGCAACAGCAGCGAGGTTTGTGGATCATACACAATTTCAGCAGCGTTGATTCAAGACAAGCGAAACTCTGGACTGGGTTTTGATGCATGGTGACTCACTGGTAGAGGTAGACTTTGCTGGTGAACTGACAGGATGTCTAGAGGTTTAAGGGTGTTATAAGCACCCTTCGCTAAATATAATTCAATAGCAGAGCTGTCAGATCCATGGACATAGGGTTGGAACATGTGTTCCTTCTCACAATGGCAAGGGTCCAACCATTTACATTCTTGTCCAGTGTGATTTCAAATTATTCCCACACCACTGTGGAGCTCCTCATAAATGGGGACATGTGGTCGCATTCACCAGAACTTGAGGCACGTGGGGTTTGGTTCGGGGTCCAAGGTAAACGTGCGGATGCTCGTGGCGACGCCGCTGTGTTGGTTCCGGATGTAGAACCCTGCGGGAGAAACCAGGGAGAACAATCATGCAACGCAAGGATTCTATAATGGTTTCCAACATGCGTTTGTACTTTTAGCGCTGGTTTTTTCTCTCTCCTAAGTGCATACCTGACGAGTTCCCAAAGGTGTGGTCCACGTCCGGGCCAGTGGTGGCTGGAGAGCTGGGCCCACTCAGCCGCTCCCAGTTGGCGCTGTCGTAAGGGTCCTGGTCCCAGTAGCACCAGCCCGACTCGAAGGAGCAGTCCACCAGATCCTTGTCTACATGCAGACAAAAAGTGGGTGAGTGAGCGGGTGAGCAGATGAGTGGACCACGCAGCTCTCACTGGCCATGGTCGTGAGTGAGCCAGCAGGTGACTGGGTGGGCCGGAATGTTCTCGCTGGCCTTACTTGTGAGAGCAGAGAAGTCGAATGTGCTGAAGGAGGCGCTGAAGCCGCTTTTGACTTGACTGCTATCGGAGGTGAACTCCACGGTGAGCTCGTGAGCGAAGACCCGAACGTCGCCGGGGTTGCTTGTTCCCGTCAATGAAGCTGCATCATGGAGGAGGCAAACTTGAACATCATCACCACTACAATCACCCAACACCAGCTCAGATGGACTGGCCACGTTGTTAGGATGCCCAACTCCTGCCCTCCTTAAACAGGTCCTGTATCCCAAACTAAACGCAAGACAGTGTGCCCCTGTAGGACAGAAGGAGCGCTACAAGAACAACGACTTCAAGAAGTGGCCACATCAACACCACCAACTGGGAAGACATTGCACAGGACAGAACCACACGGAGGAAGATTATCCAAGATGGGGTCACACTCTACGCAAAAAGATCTTCACCGTGCCACAGAGGACAAGCGGCAACAACTTAGGAAGGAGGTTAACCACCAAGAAGGCCCAACCCATTATCCACCACCATCACATTCCCTTGCCCACACTGCAGCAGAATCTGCGGATCTCTTATCGGCCTCTTCAGCCATCTGAAGATCCCCAAAAATAACCCACCAGGAGGACAATCATACTCGACCCTGAGTGATCGATGATGATGATGACCGGTCTACCAATCCCTCGGTCTGCTCACCTTGGAGCTCCTTGTCAGCGCCCAGTCCCTTGTAGATCTTGAGGAAGTCGTAATTGTTTTCAAGATCAAAGGCCGAGAATGAGAATTGGACTGCGTAGCCATCTGGGGCCCTGTGGGGAAAAGAGTGGGCGCGTGGTCAGGATGTGACCACGGGCAGGCCAAGGAAATGGGCCAAGCCGTGGTGCATTCGGGACTCTGGTGCAGAGGTTCACGGTTGGAATACTGGCCGGGTCACCCTCGCTCGCTAGCTCACTCACTCACACACACTCAATCAAGCTCAACCACCCATTCACCCATTCACCCACTCACCCACCCTCCCACCCACCCACCCACCGGATGATCCAGCGGCAGTTGGCATTGTTTACATAGTTCTCAGGGAAGTTCATAGAGTTGAAGCTCCCGGATGTCCCCGTAAGCAGGAAGTTGTCATCACAGCCGGAATCTGCAGAGCGATAATGCAGGTTGGTTATTTCATGAACCAGCTCAGACACTCACTCGCTCACACTCATTTACCCCCCTGCTTATTCAATCACCCACCCACTCGCTTACTCACATTTTGTCGTTTGAGGCTTTCGATGGCAAGCTCAATAAGCCAGTCAATTTATCCTGACCCCTCACTCCGATTTGGCCCTCATACCAAATATCTCTGCGAATTGATTCCACATCAGAGGACCTAGACTTTGACTCCTTGTCCACTGGCGAGTATCCAAGTCAAGACAGGGCAGTGACACCACTTTGAGGACCCAAGATTTTCCTTGGGGTGGGCATCGAGGAGGAGAAATATCCTGGCTTGCCAGGAGAAGGCGGGCACAGCCTTCTCCTGGCAAGCCAGGATATTTCATCTCCGGTTCCCTCCCACATTAATTCGGAGTTTGCCAACCCTCCCTAGAAAGACCACAGGGCTCGAGCGATCGTTAGTAGCGCTGCTGCCTTGAACAACTTTCGTCCGTGACTTCCCCGCGCCTCTGAAATTATGGAAATCATTGACGTTCCCGCTTTAACCCGGCGGCATCGGGGGTAAACGTTGGGGATGACGTGGAGAGAAATGGGAGTTAGAGAGGAAGGCATGGCGGGAGGGGGACCTTCCCCCCCCCCCCGCCCCCCGCTCAACGTACTGCAGGCAACTTCGTCCGAGGTGTCGTTGCAGTCGGTGACGCCGTCGCAGAGCGCGAGTAGAGGGATGCAGGAGATGTCCCCGCACACGAACTCATCCGGAGAACACGGGGCTGCATGCACACAAAGATCCCCCGTGTAGCCTTCAGTGCACTGTTGGGGCAAGTGCTGTTTCCGAGCACCTATGAAACCCGGCACGGTGCACGAGGAGGTGGGTGACTAGCACCATGCCTGGCTGCCTTTGTCTCCCTAGTGGCGATGTGTACACACTGCACCAGGTACTCATTTGAGGCTCGCTCGACATAGGGTAAGCTCAAAACCTGTTCAGAAAATCGTCACTCGTGTTGGCCGTGAGCGGGAATCCAGCTCGGGTCACCGGCCTGATAGAGCGGATGGGAGGAGGCACAATGGAGCGGAGGGGGAGAAGAAGAAGGCAAAAGAGTGATCGCAAGAGCGGAGAATGTCTGCTGCTGCAGCTGCTGGCGTCCAATGTTTGTAGACAGTCTGGCGTCTGTAATAGCAGCTCAGGATAATGCCCTCGTTTTGGTAGTCATGGATCGGCTCAGGCTAGGCTCTGGCTCCGGTGAGCCTAGAACCAGCGAGCCATACATAAGCCAGCCATGGATCTGTCTCTCTCTGCGAGTCTTTAGTTCTCTGTGTGAGTCTATGGGTCTCTATGTGAGTCTATGTATGGGTCTCTGTGCGAGTCTATGGATCTCTCTGTGAGTCTATGGGTCTCTGTGTGAGTCTATGGGTCTCTGTGTGAGTCTATGGGTCTCTATGCAAGTCTATGGGTCTCTGTGCGAGTTTGTGGGTGTCTGTGCGAGTCTAAGGCTCGCAGTGCCAGTCGATGGCAAATCGTCTACATATCTGACAAAAGCCATTTCCGGGCCCAACTCATCCCGGCTCAGCCTGCACGTCGATTCATAACGTGGCCATCAGGACCACGAGGCTCGGCGGAAGACTCACGGGTGGTAGGGATTATAGGGGTGGGCGGGGAATAGGGCAACTCCGGGCAGACCCCAGGCTCCAGCGAGATGTCGTCCAGCGCTATCTCGCTGCTGCCGGCTCTCCGCCGGGCCTCAAACACCACCTGCAATGGAGAGGAAACCGGTAACCAGTAACCGTTGACCGGGAATAACATTTGCGAACCGTAACCGAAAATCGAAGACGAAGATGATTGTTTTTGACAAAACCATACAACGAGGTTTGGAACACTGGTACGCATGATATATATATTTTTTTATTACTGAATAATTAGATTTTCAGCACAGAGAGGAGTCCGAGTTGGGACTTGAGCCTAGGCCTATTCTTGTAATGAGGCCACAACTTTGGCGTGGGGGGGGGGGGGCTCATCCAATAGCAGATCAACAGGAGGCCCCATGACAAGTACGGCATATTGCCAATGGGCCTGTAAACTGCAGCCCCGAATTTCAGACCGTGCCCCGTGGGACTTGCCTTAGCTGCTGACGGTGACAAAGCAGCGTGCACTGACCTGGAAGGAATTTGCTTCTATGAAAGAGAGCTGCCCGTAGTGCCAAACGTTGCCGTAGTTCCCCTCTTTGAGCCACGCGGGAATATCGGGCACTCCCTCCCTCCGCAGGGACACGGAGAGGCGATAGACGTCCACCCCGTACATGTGGAACCTGCGCAAAGGGACACGCAGAGACGGGTGTACAAATATGCACGCACCAACGCACGTGGACACACAACACAATGACATGCACAGACATGTGGCGTTTGCAAGTTTCTTGTCACACAGCCGGCCGGTGGTGGTGGTTACGCCGCACATGGCTGCCTGTTTGTCAGCAATGTGGAGGCAGCAGCAGCGAGGATTGTGGATCACACACAATTTCAGTAGCGTTGAGTCCAGTGGACCGGGTTTGGGCGGACGGTGACTCATCGGCAGAGGCAGACTTTGCCGATGAACTGACAGGATGTCTACAGGTAAGGGCCCATTGTTTACATTCTGGGCCCGTGTGATTTCAAACTATTCCCACACCACCGTGGAGCTTCTAGTGGAGGGTAACGTGTCATCGTATTCACCAGAACTTGAGGCACGTGGGGTTGGGTTCGGGGTCCAAGGTAAACGTGCGGATGCTTGTGGCGACGCCGCTGTTTTGGTTCCGGATGTAGAACCCTGCGGGAGAAACCAGGGAGAACAATCATGCAACGCAAGGATTCTATAACGGTTTCCAACATGCGTTTGTACTTTCCTGTTTCGTTCACATTAGATCATCTTTACGAGGGTTACCGTGACCCAACTTTGCACACAGACCTACAGGCAGGCTCATTGACAGCATTCTCAAGCATGGACGGATGGACAGACGGACATACAGACAGATGGACAAGTGGATGGGTGGATGGGCAGACAGAGAAGGATGGATGTCCACTCCTTGGCCTCTCGTAGGGCACGGCATCCATCATGTGGGAAAACACAAGCCTCTGCATTCGCGCGCACCTGAAGAATTCCCAAAGGTGTGGTCCACGTCCGGGCCAGTGTTGGGTGGAGAGCTGGGCCCGCTCAACCGCTCCCAGTCAGCGCTGTCATAAGGGTCCTGGTCCCAGTAGCACCAGCCCGACTCGAAGGAGCAGTCCACCAGCTCCTTGTCTATACACAGACAAAGAGTGGGTGACTGAGCGGGTGAGCGAGTGAGTGGCTGAGTGAGCGGGTGAGTGAGTGAGCGAGCGAGCGGGCGAGCGAGCGAGTGAGTGAGTGAGTGAGTGAGTGAGTGAGAGGGCCACGCAGCTCTCGCTGGCCATACTTGTGAGTCCGGAGAAAAGGAACGTGGTGAAGGGAGTGGGTGGGTGGGTGTGCGAGCGGGTGAGTGAGTGAGCGGGTGAGCGAGTGAGTGAGCGGCTGAGTGAGTGAGCGGGTGAGCGGGTGAGCGAGTGAGTAAGCGGCTGAGTGAGTGAGCGAGCGGGTGAGTGAGTGAGTGGGTGGGTGAGTGAGTGAGTGGGCGGGTGAGAGGGCCATGCCGCTCTCGCTGGCCATACTTGTGAGTCCGGAGAAACGGAACGTGGTGAAGGGAGTGGGTGGGTGGGTGAGTGAGTGGTTGAGTGAGTGAGTGGGTGAGTGAGTGTATGAGCGGGTGAGTGAGTGTATTGTGTGGTGATGTACTCGTGAGTCCGGAGAAGTCAAACGCTGTGAAGGTGGCACTGAAGCCGCTGTCTGTTTGACTCGCGTCGGAGGTGAATTCCACGGTGAGCTCGTGGCTGAAGACCCGCACGTCGCCTGGAATGCTCGTTCCCGTCAACGAGGCTGCGATGCGGAGAGACGCACACGCACAGAGAGAGCGGGACAAAACGAGAGAAAATGGTAGAGGGTTATTAAACAATAACCGGTGTAACTGTTGCACCGCGGAGTTTGAGTAACCAAGTAACCAAGGCACCGATCGGCACGTGCGCGTACAAACAGTACAAGCCGCACGGCGATAGGCCTCAATCACCGTGTGGTTACGTTTGCCCTCATTTGTCAGTTAAAATGGAAAAGTTGCCTTGTGGTGCGCAGGGGCTGGAACGGTCCCCTGTACATTAAGCAGCCCGCTTCCTTAACACCCTTCTGTTCCTCCCTTGAAGCCTCTAGTACCCATAGACTCCACACTGCCCATAGACTCAACACTGCACCATAGACTCAACACTGCACCATAGACTCAACACTGCTCACAGACTCAACACTGCTCACAGACTCAACACTGCACCATAGACTCAACATTGCCCATAGACTCATCACTGCCCATAGACTCAACACTGCACCATAGACTCAACACTGCCCATAGACTCAACACTGCCCACAGACTCAACACTGCTCACAGACTCAACACTGCCCATAGACTCAACACTGCCCATAGACTCAACACTGCCATAGACTCAACACTGCCCATAGACTCAATACTACCCATAGACTCAACACTGCCACCCATAGACTCAACACTGCCCACAGACTCAACACCGCCCATAAACTCAACACGGCCCATAGACTCAACACTGCACCAGACTCAACACTGCCCATAGACTCAACACCGACCATAGACTCCACACCGCCCATAGACTCAACACTGCACCATAGACTCAACACTGCACCAGACTCAATACCGCCCACAGACTCAACACTGCACCATAGACTCAACACTGCACCAGACTCAATACCGCCCATAGACTCAACACTGCACCAGACTCAACACTGCCCATAGACTCAACACCGCCCATAGACTCCACACCGCCCATAGACTCCACACCGCCCACAGACTCAACACTGCACCATAGACTCCACACCGCCCACAGACTCAACACTGCCCATAGACTCCACACCGCCCATAGACTCCACACCGCCCATAGACTCCACACCGCCCACAGACTCAACACTGCCCATAGACTCAACACTGCACCATAGACTCAACACTGCACCAGACTCAACACCGCCCACAGACTCAACACCGCCCATAGACTCAACACCGCCCATAGACTCAACACTACCCATAGACTCAACACTACCCATAGACTCAACACCGCCCCCCATACATTAAGCAGTCGCCCTCCTTCCCGTCCCTCCACTATAGCCCTTTGGTGATCCCTATGAGTCTTCTGTAATGGTCACTAATTCCTTCTCATTTTGCACCCCTCCCCTGCCAACAAAATCGCATTCGTTTTAACTGCTTTCAAACTTTGGAAAAGCACCTTGAGCCGAGGCGCTATGTGAAGATAAAGCAAGATCTTGATGTTTAAGGCACGTTGGGGTTGCCGAGTCGTTCCGACAAGAGCCACGCCCATGCAATGACCGTGCACACTATTAAGGGTAATAACAAATCCCAAACAAGAACCGGGCGACGTACGTTCGGCACGTGCGCGTTCCAGACTCGACGCACGACGGCGGCAGACTCGTGCCTGAGATCGGCAGCCACGTTCATGGAGCAACATCCCGAAAAAGCCACAACGCAATACCCACAACCGCGTGCCTCCCCCAACAGTATACTCTTAGTTTTCTCGGTAAAGTCACGTAGGTAAAAAGAAATGAAATTAAAATTAATAAATAAATAGAAATCACGACGTTTCGGAGGCAACACAAGTCTCTGTCATCAGGTGGGACCGTCACAGCCAGATTTGCTGCATCAAGTGAGGCAGGGATTCCAAGATGCAAGCTCTTACATACAAGTTAAGGGGGGGGGAGCTTATCAGAATGTGGTAGCCAATGAATGGAACGTATTGGGAGGGGGGGCGGGGCTAAAAGAAGTGTGCGTAGATGTCGACGTGGACGTGTTTGTGTGCAAGCCCCTGTTGGTGCACATGTCCCCCAACAGTGTCCCCTTCACGTAAAGCAATAAAGCACGACCATCCGAGCCTGCACTATTTCAGCAGCATTGATTCAGGCCAAAGCGAAAAATAAACTCCCGACCAATTACGACGCGCGGCGTCTCATCGGCAACAGAGTCGGGCTCGGCTCGAACCAATGCCGGCGAGACTGCCGGTCCTGGAGATCTCGTACAGACAGCGGAGCCCGGCCCCTTTGCTGCGATGCGGTGTGGGGTCCGAGTTCGACGCATGAGCTACCGGTCCACCGATCCCTCGGTCCGCTCACCTTGGAGCTCCTTGTCGGGGCCCAGGCCCTTGTAGATCTTGAGGAAGTCGTATCTGTTTTCAAGCGCAAAGGCCGAGAACGAGATTTGGACGGCGTAGTCATCTGGGGCCCTGCGGGGAAAAGAACGGGAGTGCCGTCAGGACGTCGGGCGCGCGGCGGTGCCGGGGACATGGGCAGAGGTGTTCCCGGTTGGAATACTGGCCGGGTGACACTCACTCCTCACTCACTCACTCGAGCTAATCCACCCACCCACCGGATGATCCAGTGGCAGTTGGCGTTGTCGTTGTAGTCCCCGGGGAAGTTCATGGAGTTGAAGCTCCCGGACATCCCCGTGAGCAGGAAGTTGTCGTCACAGCCGGAATCTGCAGAGGGACGATGCAAATTGTTTTTTTTTATTGTTCACACGCTCACCTCACCCGCTTGCTTGCCCGCCCACTCGCTCACATCTTGTTGATTGCGGTGTTCGACGGATGGCCTGATGAGGATAACTGCCCCACATTGCACTGCAGCTTTCTTGAGCCCACACTTATTTATTGTCCTATTAGTGCTCCGCTCATAACTCTGCTCTAGTTTTTCCAGTCACTTTATGCCGACCCCTCTGTGAATTGATCCAACTGAGAGGAACCCTAAGACTCATTTTTCCACTGGCTCGTAACCGAGCCGAACCAGCACGATGACCCCACTTAACCCGTTCGCATTCCGATGATGTTCGCGTACTAAGCTGAGCTATTTAAAACTATCTTCTTGGTTCTTTCGGTAAAGTCACGTAGAATGGAAATAATAAAATAATAAAAATAAAACATAATAAAATAATTCTCACGACGTTTTTTTTATTATGTTTTATTTTTATTATTTTATTATTTCCATTCTACGTGACTTTACCGAAAGAACCAAGAAGATGAATCCCTGCAGTCACGAAAGATTTAAATCGATATTTAAAACTATTTTATTACTGTTACTGGGTAAGGCCCACTGAGCTATGTAGCTCTTTTTTCAGAAGCGACCAGGCCACAAATGATAGCTCAACGAAGTGGCTTATTGCGTGGCAATTTACAGCTCTAAACGCGTGTTGTTTCTCAATGTGGAGGGGAAAGCCGGAGGATGCGGAGAAAAATCCACACGATCATGGGTGTCAGGGTCGTGATTGAACCCACGACCTCCTGTATGCCAGGCGAGGTAGTTAACATCTCCTAGCCACCGTGGCACCTTCTATGTACGTCATCGGAACGGAGACGGAAGAAAAACTAAAATATAAAATAACTTTGTTCGTACCGAGGCTCCCACAAGGCAACGCGGGAGGGCACGTGGCACAGCTTGGCGCTGGCTATCATAGCGTGGCGGTCGTGTCGCTACAGTTCTGTGCGGTGAGTACAACGTCTTTAGCAAACACGGCACCACGCCTCTCGAAATAAAATGAACATTCATGCGAGCGTGGAACGCAGCCATAAGTCATAAGCTCCAAGGGAAGGGAGAAGGAATTTGAAGCCAGATGGTCTCCCTCCCCTCCTTGTTGCAGAGCCTGAAAGCGAGCGCGTCGGATGTGGGTCCTGCGCTCTTGTCACAATAAACATTTATAAGCAAACAACAAAAATTAATGTCGGAATCGCTCGCGCGTTTCCGACATTCGGCGGTGAACGGGAGCCCCCACGCGGCAAACTTGCAGATGCCTCGGAACGGGAATGGGTTAAGGTGACCTAGCACTTCCCGTGGGTGGGCGTCGAGTATGAGCCACGTGCCCTGGCTAGCCAGGAGAAGGCTTGCACAGCCGACTGTGCACTCACCTCCCGTTCTCTCCCACATTCACGGGAGTTCACGAAACCTCTCTACAAGGGGCCACGGAGGTCGTCAGTAGAGCCGCTGCTTTGCCCACGGCTTCCCGCGCCTCTCAGTTGACTGCAAACCCCGATATCGCCCGCTCTAACCCGGGCGTAAACATTGGGGGGGGGGGGGGGGAGGTGTAGTGAAAGTAAAGGGAGGAGGGCGAGACTGGAGGAGGTTACTATTTCCCCTCTGCTCCACCGCCCCCCGGACCCGCTCCCTCTCGACGTACTGCAGGAGGCTTCGTCGGAGGCGTCGTTGCAGTCGTTGATGCCATCGCAGCGAGCGGACAGGGGGACGCACGAGATGTCGGCGCACACGAACTGGCCCGGGGGACACGGGGCTGCGCACGTGCACGGGCAGAACGCGGGCAGAACGCGCACGTCAAATCAGGAGTTGCTTCCCGATGGGTGCAGCTGAACTGCTCCCTGCGTGACCGGGGGAGCTAGGAGACCGTGGCGTGAACATCGGCTGTGAAGTGCGTCAGGGCGTCCCGGGCGGAATGGTTGTTGCCCTGAACATGCTGGATGGAGGAGGAGGCTGACGTAGACTCAAAGAACATTTATCCTTTTACATAGTTCGTAAATGTATCTGGTGTTTTGACGGTGGGAAGTCCCGTGGAATAGCATTCGCTAACAAATAAATGGATAAAATCGCAACCACCACCATCATCATCATCATGACCACCATCATCATCGTCACTAGAATCATCACCATCATTATCGCCACTGACAATCATCATCCACGAGCATCATCATCACCACCAGATTCACCGCCTGTGCCCCCTACCGTGCCAACTTGCGCACAGATACGAAGACAGACAAAGATCTCCCATATAGCCTTCTAACATGCCGTTGGGGCAAGTGCAGTGAGCGAGTTGCAGCTATGAAGGCTGACTCGGCGGGGTGGTGTGTGGCCAGAATTTCCACTGCCCGGCCGCCTTTGTCTCCCCACGGCTGATGTTTCACACAGAGTACCAGGCACTCAGTTATGGCTGAGCGGACCTAAGGGGACGTCCAGGACCGGTTCCGGAAGTTCGGGCACCGCTGTTGGCCATGAGTGGGAATCGAACTCGGGTCGCTGACTTCGGCGTGCAGCGTGCTAAGCGCTGCGCCACCACTCCCCGCTTGCACAGGCGCATCACTGCAACGCCGCTGGTACGAGTGGAGGGCGCTGCACTACCGCCGGGAGAGGGCACCGCACTACCGCTGGAGGGGAGTGTGGGCAATGTGGAGGGGGTCACTCACGGGCGGTGGTGGTGATAATCGGGGGCTCTGGGGACGGGGAGGGGCAGACCCCGGGGATGAGCGCCACGTCATCCAGCGCAATCTCGTTGAACAGCTGGTGCAGCCTGCGGCGCGCCTCCACCACCACCTGCAGGGGGCGTCACCACCTCGTCACACCACGTGGTACGGCGACGATGACGATGGTGGCGACGGTGATGATGGTGACGGTGACCACGGCGATGACGTTGATGATTGTGACGACAACGACGACGATGGTGACGATGGTGGCGATGGTGACGACGGTGACGACGGTGAATGTGACCACGGTGACGACGGTGACTACTGTGACGACACCGATGATGTGACGGTGACACTGGTGATCACAGTGACGGTGACCATAGCGATGATGGCGACGGTGACCACGGTGACGACGGTGATGGCAGGGAGGACTCTGACGACGACAATGGTGGCAAATCTTTTCAAATTCGTCATACTTTTATAGCACTGCCCAAAAAGGTCCCGCGACGTTCAACTTCCCAGCGCGCTCGTTGCTATGACGCCGAGCGGAAAGCAAAACGCTTGCGCTACGAGCCCGTCGACCCGACTTCGATCCCCGCTCACGGCCAACACCGGTGATCATCGTGGTTTTCCATTACCCGACTCACTCGACTCGGCCGAACTCGGCTCTGTGGGGGGGATGGGGGGGGTGTATAGAGGTACTGTACAACTCGCGCATGCGCCGCCGCCATCTTCTCGGTCTCGTCGCGTGGCCACGAGCGCCCGTTGGGACCGGCGCCGACTTCAAATCGCAAAAACATGGCCGCAACCCCCTTCGACGCGGCCTTCATCCAGCAGCGGATCGAACAGGAGGCCCCATCGACGACACGTCGCCCGTGCCCGCCGATGGGCCTGCAAACGGCGCCCGCCGCGTTCCGACCGCGGCCCGCGGCAAGAGGCTTGGCCAGAGTGGCAGATCGCCGGCGCCGGCTACCTTGAAGCTCTGCGTCTGGCTGATGGCGATCTGCCCGTAGTGCCACTGGTTGCCGTAGTTCCCCTCCTTCTGCCACAGGAGAGAGTCGGCCGCTCCCTCCCTCCGCAGGAACACAGTGAGGCGGTAGACGTCCACCCCATGCATGTGGTACCTGCGCACGGGGACACGCAGAGGGCCATGCAGAGACACGCGCAGAGACACGCACAGGGAAAGAGACACGTGCAGAGACAGACACAAGGACATACATTCATAATCAACGTTTTTGGGTTTAGATCGCGTTATTTATAAATGTGTCGTAACCCTCCACCACCCGACACGACCAATCAGCAAGAAAAAGTGTCACGTTGACAAAAGACAAATAGTTCACTGCTTTAGCTCACCGGTGTGTTGAAGCGTGAAACCACAACATTTACAAAAAATGTTTTGTTAAACTGACAAGGACAGGACATAGACTTGGACGAAGACAATTATCCCCTGTAGAGCTTTAACACAACGAGCACCTTACACACACACAGGGACGAATACACACATACACGTAAAATATAAAGATCCCCCGTATAACCTTAACAAACTATCGGGGCAAGTGCTGTTAGCGAGCACCTGTGGGTGGCCAGCACCACAACCGGCCATCTTTGTCTCCCTAGCGGCGACGTTTACACACCGCACCAGGTACCCATTTGAGGCTGAGTCGATCTAGAAGAGGCCCAGAACCGGTTCAGATAATCGTCACCGGTGTTGGCCGTGAGCGGGAATTGAACCCGGGTCGCCGGGTTCGTAGCGCAGCGCGCTAACTGCTACACTACCACTCCCCATAACACAGAGGGACACACACAGGAACACACACACGGATACAGCGACACACAGAGGGATGAATATACACGCAAAGACATCCTCGTACAGCCTAGACAGGCTGTCGCGCCTCAATAAATTTGGCACAAAACCGCGGGAGCGAAGGGTCGTTGTTGTCCGATGGGAGATATTGTCATCGCCAACAAGTCTGTGTCTGAAGCAGGAGGTGAGCGGTTTGATTATATATTTTTCATTGCAGACGACGTGGATCCGATGATGATGACGATGACGATGATGACGACGATGATAACTAGGATGACAATGATCACGGTGATGACAATGATGACGACGATGTTGACTAAAATGACAATGACTAGGGTAAGAATGACTACGGTGGCAACTACGATGAAGATGATGACGATGACGACTACGATGATGACGAAGATGACGATGATGACTAGGATGACGATGATTATGGTGATGAGAATGATAACGACGATGTTGACTAAAATGACAATGATTAGGGTGCCAACTACGATGATGACGATGATGATGATGATGATAATGGCTACAGTGACAATTACGGTGGCAACTACGATGATGACGACTACGATCATGGTGATGATGACGACGATGACAACTGCGACGACGATTACAACGACGATTACAATGACGACTGCGATGACGATCACGCACGGACCCACCAGAACTGGAAGCACGCCGTCGATGTCTGCGGAGCGAGCAGCTGGCTGACGAGGCTGGCCGCCACGCCGTTCACCGACCCACGGATGTAGTAGCCTGCAGTTCAGGGGACACACAAAGACAAAGGCCCCCCCGGGTAGCCTTTAATAGACTGCTGGGGCAAGTGTCGTTTGCGAGCAAGGCCACTGGAGCGCCACCCCCCCCCCTCCAAGGCCACTGGAGTACCCCCCCCAAGGCTACCGGAGCACCACCCCCAAGGCTACCGGAGTACCCCCCCCCAAGGCCACTGGAGCACCCCCCCCAAGGCCACTGGAGCACCCCCCCCCCAAGGCTACCGGAGCACCCCCCCCCCCCAAGGCTACCGGAGCACCACCCCCAAGGCCACTGGAGCACCCCTCTCCCAAGGCTACCGGAGCACCACCCCCAAGGCCACTGGAGCACCCCCCCCCCAAGGCTACCGAAGCACCACCCCCAAGGCCACTGGAGCGCCCCCCCCCCAAGTCTACCGGAGCACCACCCCCAAGGCCACTGGAGCACCCCCCCCCAAGGCTACCGAAGCACCACCCCCAAGGCCACTGGAGCGCCCCCCCCCAAGTCTACCGGAGCACCACCCCCAAGGCCACTGAAGCACCCCCCCCCAAGGCTACCGGAGCACCACCCCCAAGGCCACTGGAGCACCCCCACCCCCAAGGCTACCGAAGCACCACCCCCAAGGCCACTGGAGTGCCCCCCCCAAGGCCACTGGAGCACCCCCCCCCCCCAAGGCTACCGGAGCACCACCCCCAAGGCCACTGGAGCCCCCCCCCCCAAGGCTACCGAAGCACCACCCCCAAGGCCACTGGAGCACCCCCCCCAAGGCTACCGGAGCACCACCCCCAAGGCCACTGGAGCACCCCCCCCCCAAGGCTACCGGAGCACCACCCCCAAGGCCACTGGAGCACCCCCCCCCCCAAGGCTACCGGAGACCCACCCCCAAGGCTACCGGAGCACCACCCCCAAGGCCACTGGAGTGCCCCCCCCAAGGCCACTGGATCGCCCCCCTCCCCAAGGCTACCGGAGCACCACCCCCAAGGCCACTGGAGCACCCCCCCCAAGGCTACCGGAGCACCACCCCCAAGGCCACTGGAACACCCCCCCCCCCAAAGCTACCGGAGCACCACCCCCAAGGCCACTGGAGCACCCCCCCCCCCCAAGGCTACCGGAGCATCGTTACCGGTGGCGTCGCCGACGGTGTGGTCCACGTCCGGGCCGGAGCCCTGGGGGCTGCTGGGGCCCCTCAGCCGCTCCCAGTCGGCGCTGTCGTAGGGGTCCTGCTCCCAGTAGCACCAGCCCGACTCGAACGTGCAGTCGATGAGCTCCTTGTCTGCACACAGAGTAGGTGAGTGGGCAGGTGAGCAGGTGAGTGGGTTGGGTGGGTGGGTGAGTGAGCTAGTGGGTGAGTGGGCGGGTGAGTGAGCGGGTGAGTGAACTAGTAGGTGAGTGAGCAGGTGAGTGGGTTGGGTGGGTGGGTGAGTGAACTAGTGGGTGAGTGGGTGGGTGGGTGAGTGAGCGGGTAAGTGAACTATTAGGTGAGTGGGCAGGTGAGCAGGTGAGTGGGTTGGGTGGTTGTGTGTTGGTGGGTGGGCGAGTGAACCAGTGGGTGAGTGAGTGGGTTGGGTGGGTGGGTGAGTGAGTGGGTTGGGTGGGTGGGTGAGTGAGCTAGTGGGTGAGTGGGCGCGTGGGTGTGCGGGTGAATGAACTAGTAGGTGAGTGAGCAGGTGAGTGGGTTGGGTGGGTGGGTGAGCGAGCTAGTGGGTGAGTGGGTGGGTGAGTAAGTGAGCGGGTGAGTGAACTAGTAGGTGAGTGAGCAGGTGAGTGGGTTGGGTGGGTGGGTGAGTGAACTAGTGGGTGAGTGGGTGGGTGGGTGAGTGAGCGGGTGAGTGAACTATTAGGTGAGTGGGAAGGTGAGCAGGTGAGTGGGTTGGGTGGGTGGGTGGATGAGTGAACTAGTGGGTGAGTGGGTGGGTGGGTGAGTGAGCGGGTGAGTGAACTTGTAGGTGAGTGGGCAGGTGAGCAGGTGAGTGGGTTGGGTAGTTGTGATTGTTTTGTGGGTGGGTGAGTGAACCAGTGGGTGAGTGAGTGGGTTGGGTGGGTGGGTGAGTGAGCTAGTGGGTGAGTGGGCGGGTGAGCAGGTGAGTGGGTTGGGTGGTTGTGTGTTGGTGGGTGGGCGAGTGAACCAGTGGGTGAGTGAGTGGGTTGGGTGGGTGGGTGAGTGAGCTAGTGGGTGAGTTGGTGGGTGGGTGAGCGAGCGGGTGAGTGAACTAGTAGGTGAGTGGGCAGGTGAGTGGGTTGGGTGGGTGGGTGACTGAACTAGTAGGTGAGTGAGCTAGTGGGTGAGTTGGTGGGCAGGTGAGTGAACTAGTAGGTGAGTGGGCAGGGGAGCAGGTGAGTGGGTTGGGTGGTTGTGTGTGTTTGGTGGGTGAGTGAGTGAGCCAGTGGGTGAGTGAGTGGGTTGGGTGGGTGGGTGAGTGAGCTAGTGGGTGAGTGAGCGGGTGAGTGAGCGGGTGAGTGAACTAGTAGGTGAGTGGGCAGGTGAGCAGGTGAGTGGGTTGGGTGGTTGTGTGTGTTTGGTGGGTGAGTGAGTGAACTCCTCTGTGTTACGAGCCGCAGAAGAGCGATACCAGAGCGACTGACCGCTGGAGAGCGACAACGAGCGAGCGTCCGGAGCGAATCGGTGAGTGGTGGATGACGACGATGATGACGATGATGTTGATGATGACGATCGTGACGGTGACGACGGTGACGACGATGATGACGACGATGACGACATTGATGATGACGATCGTGACGATGACGGCAATCATGACGACGATGGTAACGGTGATGACGACGATGGTGATGACGACGACGATGACGACGACGACGTTGATGATGACGATCGTGACCATGACGACGATGGTAACGGTGATGATGACGATGGTGATGACGACGACGATGACGACGACGACGTTGATGATGACGATCGTGACCATGACGACGATGGTAACGGTGATGATGACGATGGTGATGACGACGATGATGACGACGACGACGTTGATGATGACGATCGTGACCATGACGACGATGGTAACGGTGACGACGATGGTAACGGTGACGATGACGACGACGACGTCGTACTGGAGAGGTCTCCGAAGAAGAAGGAGCTGTAGCGAGCGGCGAAGCCGCTGCTGTTGAGGCTGACGTCACTCGAGAACTCGACGGTGGCCACGTTGGAGAAGAGTCGCACCAAACCGGGGTTCTCGGTTCCCGTGAGCGAAGCTGAGTTGGGGAGGGGGGGAGGGGAGGGGGGGGGAGGGGGGGAGGGGGGAGGGGGGAGGGAGGAGGGGTGGACAATTGTCAATGGCCGGTTGCGTCCAGGTCTCTCCCCAGGCCCCGGCGCAACCCAGAACGCCAGGTCCGTCGTGACCCTTGTGATCGCCAGCACCACCACCAGCAGCAGCAGCAGCAGCAAACATCACCACCACCACTATCACCACCGTCACCACTACCAGCACCACCACAACCATCACCACCACCACCACCGTCACCACCACCAGCATCACCACCACCACCACCAGCATCACCACCACCGCCACCACCAGCACCACCACCACCTCTACCAGTGCCACCGTCACCACCGTCACCACCACAACCATCACCACCACCACCGTCACCACCACCACCAGCACCACCACCGTCACCACCAGCACCATCACCACCGCCACCACCATCACCACCACGGCCACTCACCTCTCAGCAGCATGTCCTCTCCCAGTCCGCTGTAGATGCGCAGGAAGTCGTAGTTGAACTCCACGCTGAAGGCCGAGAACGTGAAGTCGATGGCGTGGCCCTGGGGGACCCTGGGACGTGGCAGTGAGGGACACGCAGAGAGACACGTGATATGGTGAGTGACACGGTGAGAGACACGTGACACGGTGAGTGACACAGTGAGAGACACGTGACATGGTGAGTGACACGGTGAGAGACACGTGACACGGTGAGTGACACAGTGAGAGACACGGTGACATGGTGAGTGACACAGTGAGAGACACGTGACACGGTGAGAGACACGGTGAGAGACACGGGGACATGGTGAGAGACACGGAGAGAGACACAGTTAGAGAAACGGTGAGAGACACGGTGAGAGACACGGTGAGAGACATGTGACATGGTGAGTGACACGGTGAGAGACACGGTGAGAGACACGGTGACATGGTGAGAGATACGGTGAGAGACACGGAGAGAGACACGGCAAGTAACACGCAGAGAGACACGGAGAGAGACACCGACGGCATGGACACCGACGTTAATTCTGATGATGACGACGACGATGATGACGACGACGGCGACTCACTGAATGATCCATCGGCAGTTCGTGTTGTCCTCGTAGTTCTGGGGGTAGTTGATGGAGTGGAAATCTCCCGACGTCTCCGTGAAGAGGAAATTGTCATCGCAGCCCGAAGCTGTACGCACCCCGAACCAGAATCAGAGGAATCGGGGAGTTGATTTCTCATCGACTAAAGCCCCCTCGCTCGCTCGCTCATCCACCCTCTCATCTCCACCACTCTCCCCACTCAAACCCACTCACTCGTCCACTCAGTTATCCACCCTCTCATCTCCACCACTCTCCCCACTCGCCCACACACTCATGCTCACTCACACCCGCTCACTCATCCACTCAGTCATCCACCCTCTCATCTCCACCACTCTCCTCACTCGCCCACACACACACGCTCATTCACACCCACTCACTCGCCCACTCGGTTATCCACCCTCTCATCTCCACCACTCTCCCCGCTCGCCCACACACACATGCTTACTCACACCCACTCACTCGCCAACCCACTCGCCCACTCTCCCACACTCACACACACACAGTTACTCAACCACACACACTAGCCCACCCACTCTCCCACCCACCCACACTCTCACTCACTCGCTCACCCACACACTCACTCAACCACTCGCCCACTCACACCCACACACTCAACCATCAACTCTCTCTCTGTGTGTGCCCATCTCTCTCTGTGTGCCCATCTCTCTCTGTGTGCCCATCTCTCTGTGTGTGCCCATCTCTCTCTGTGTGCCCATCCCATCTCTCTCTCTCTGTGTGCCCATCTCTCTCTGTGTGCCCATCTCTCTGTGTGTGCCCATCTCTCTCTGTGTGCCCATCCCATCTCTCTCTCTCTCTGTGTGCCCATCTCTCTCTGTGTGTCCATCTCTCCCTGTGTCCATCTCTCTCTCTCTCCCTGTGTCCATCTCATCTCTCTCTCTCTGCGCCCACGTCTTCCCACGCCGGCGTGTCTCACCGCAGTTGGCCTCGTCGGTCTTGTCGGCGCAGTTCTCCACGCCGTCGCAGATCGCGCGGCGACGCACGCACGTCACCGCGTCGCACGACAGCTCGCCGGCACCGCACGCCGCTACGGAGGGGCGGGGGGGGGGAGCGGACGAGGGGGGGAGAGATGATGATGTCGATAATGATGACGATGATGTCGATGACGATGATGTCGATGATGATGACGATGATGTCGATGATGATGACAATGATGTCGATAATGATTACGATGATGTCGATGACGATGATGATGACGATGACGATGATGTCGATAATGATGACGATGATGTCATTGACGATGACGATGATGTCGATAATGATGACGATGAAGTCGATGATAAAGACGACGATGATGATGACAACGATGATGAAGATGATGACGACGATGACGATGGTGTCCATCATGATGATGACGAGGACGATGATGATCGTCGACATCATTGTCATCGTCGGGAGGGGGGAGGGGTGGAGGGAGGGAGAACGGAAGGAGGGAGGGCTAAGGGAGGGGGGCTGGCAGAGAAGGATGACGTTGGTGGTGGTGGCGAAGGTGGTGCTGGCGGTGGCGATGGTGGTGGCGGTGGTGGTGATGGTGGTGGTGGTGGTGGCGGTGACGGTTGTGGTGGCGAAGGTGGCGGCGGCGATGGTGACGGCGGTGGTGGTGACGGCGGTGGTGGTGGCGGTGGTGGTGGCGGTGGCAGCGGTGGTGGCGATGGTGGTGGTGGTGGCGGTGATGGTGGTGGCAGCGGTAGTGGTGGTGGTGTTGGTACCCTGCGATTGGATGGACTCGATCCAGGAGGAGAAGGAGGTGACGCGCGCGAAGACGTCGTAGTTGACGGAGCAGCGCCCCTCCGAGTCGACCAAGCCCCAGCTGGTGATGCCGGCCAGGTACCAGCGCCCGTCGAAGCGCTGGCACACCAGCGGTCCGCCACTGTCTCCCTGCAGCCAGGACAGGGAGACGGCTCCATCCCTCGGGCGGGTGGGCGGGCGAGCGTGTGGCCGAGTGGGCGAGCGAGCGAGTGGGTGAATGAGGGGGCGATTGAGTGGGTGGGTGGGCGAGCGAGCGAGTGAGTGACCAATTGAGTGGGTGGTTGAGTGACAGGGTGAGTGAGTGGGCTAGCGAGTGGGTGAATGAGTGGGCGAGTGAGCAGGTGGTTGAGTGATAGGGTGAGAAAGTGGGTGGCCGAATGGGTGAATGAGGGGGCGATTTAGTTGGTGGGTGACCAATTGAGTGGGTGGTTGAGTGATAGGGTGAGTGAGCAGGCGAGCGGCTGAGTGGGCGAGCGAGTGGGTGAATGAGTGGGCGAGTAAGCGGGTGAGTGACCAATTGAATGGGTGTTTGAGTGACAGGGTGAGTGAGCGGGCGAGCGGCTGAGTGGGCGAGCGAGTGGGTGAATGAGTGGGCGAGTAAGCGGGTGAGTGACCAATTGAGTGGGTGGTTGAGTGACAGGGTGAGTTAGCGGGCGAGCGGCTGAGTGGGCGAGCGAGTGGGTGAATGAGGGGCGATTGAGTGGGTGGGTGGGCAAGTGAGCGAGTGGCCGAGCGAGTGAGCAAGCGATTGATCAAGCGGGCGAGCGAGTGGGTACTCACGGAGCACACGCCGGCGTGCCCGGCCTTGTAGGCGGCGCAGATCATCCTGGGCGACACCTTCCCCACGTGGATCGACTCGTTGCACAGCTGCTGGTTCATGATGGGGATGCGCAGCTCCTGCAGAACGCTGGGCAGTGCGCCTGCAGCACACGCACACATCAGGGGGGGTCCACTCACTCGCGCCGTTGCAGCGACTCTGTGGGCATTGTCCGCGTGACCGGCAACCCTCGCTGCTGCGTCCATGCATGCCACGCCACCACCGCCACCACCGCCTCCACCGCTACCACTACCGAAACCACCGCCACCCAACGCCGCCACTGCCAACACAGCCACCACTGCCAACACAACCACAACCACCGCCACCACCGCCACAGCCACCGCCACCACAACCACCACCGCCACCACCACCACAACCACCGCCGCCACAACCACCGCCACCACCGCCACCACCACAACCACCGCCACCACCACCAACCTACCGGCGCCGTCCTTGCCCCAGCCGAAGGTGAAGCACAGCCACCGCCACCACAACCACCACCACCACCGCCACCACAACCACCACCACCACCACAACCACAACCACCACCACCACCAACCTACCGGCGCCGTCCTTGCCCCAGCCGGAGGTGAAGCACAGCTCGCCGTCGTTGAAGACCAAGTCGCCTGGGGGGACGCACGCCGGCCCCACCAGGCCCGAGGCCTTCACCGGCACACGGCACACAGACAAAGGTCACCCGGGTAGCCTTCACCGGCACACAGACAAAGGTCACCCGGGTAACCTTCACCGGCACACGGCACACAGACAAAGGTCACCCGGGTAGCAGAGGTCGCAAACGGGTTTTGATTCCTTACCCGTACCCGGCCGCACCAGGGTCGCAAACGGGTACCCGTACCCAGCTCGTGAGCACGTGAGTGCAAACGAATCAACGCTAATCGCTTAGCCGAGTTTAACAACAACAACACGACGACGGTGTTCGCTAAACGAGTAAGAAAGGAAGGGAGTGATGGAAGAAGAGGGAGACGAGAGAGAGAGGGAGGGAGGAAGGGAATCGATAGAAGTGGAGGGTGGGTGAGCGAGTGACTGGGTGAGTGAGCGCGTGAGTGAGTGAGTGAGCGAGTGAGTGAGTGAGTGAGCGAGTGAGTGAGTGAGTGAGCGAGTGAGTGAGTGAGTGAGGGACGATAGAAGTGGAGGGTGGGTGAGCGAGTGAGTGAGTGAGTGACTGAGTGAGTGAGCGAGTGACTGAGTGAGTGAGCGCGTGAGTGAGTGAGTGAGCGAGTGAGTGAGTGAGTGAGTGAGCGAGTGAGTGAGTGAGTGAGTGAGCGAGTGAGTGAGTGAGTGAGGGACGATAGAAGTGGAGGGTGAGTGAGCGAGTGAGTGAGTGAGTGAGCGCGTGAGTGAGTGAGTGAGCGAGTGAGTGAGTGAGGGACGATAGAAGTGGAGGGTGGGTGAGCGAGTGAGTGAGCGAGTGACTGAGTGAGTGAGCGAGTGAGTGAGTGAGTGAGCGAGTGAGTGAGTGAGGGACGATATAAGTGGAGGGTGGGTGAGTGACTGAGTGAGTGAGCGAGTGAGTGAGTGAGGGACGATAGAAGTGGAGGGTGGGTGAGTGAGCGCGTGAGTGAGCGAGTGACTGAGTGAGTGAGCGCGTGAGTGAGCGAGTGACTGAGTGAGTGAGCGAGCGAGTGAGTGAGTGACTGAGTGAGTGAGCGAGTGAGTGAGTGAGTGAGCGCGTGAGTGAGTGAGCGCGTGACTGAGTGAGCGAGCAAGTGAGCGAGTGACTGAGTGAGTGAGCGCGTGACTGAGTGAGTGAGCGAGTGAGTGAGTGAGGGACGATAGAAGTGGAGGGTGGGTGAGTGAGCGCGTGACTGAGTGAGCGAGCGAGTGAGTGACTGAGTGAGTGAGCGCGTGAGTGAGTGAGTGAGTGAGCGAGTGAGTGAGTGAGGGACGATAGAAGTGGAGGGTGGGTGAGTGAGCGCGTGACTGAGTGAGCGAGCGAGCGAGTGACTGAGTGAGTGAGCGCGTGAGTGAGTGAGTGAGTGAGCGAGTGAGTGAGTGAGGGACGATAGAAGTGGAGGGTGGGTGAGTGAGCGCGTGACTGAGTGAGCGAGCGAGTGAGTGAGTGACTGAGTGAGTGAGCGCGTGAGTGAGTGAGTGAGCGCGTGCCTGAGTGAGCGAGCGAGTGAGTGAGTGACTGAGTGAGTGAGCGAGTGAGTGAGCGAGTGAGTGAGTGAGTGAGTGAGTGAGTGAGCGAGTGAGTGAGTGAGGGACGATAGAAGTGGAGGGTGGGTGAGTGAGCGCGTGACTGAGTGAGCGAGCGAGTGAGTGAGTGACTGAGTGAGTGAGCGCGTGAGTGAGTGAGTGAGCGCGTGACTGAGTGAGCGAGCGAGTGAGTGAGTGACTGAATGAGCGAGTGATTGAGTGAGTGAGTGAGTGAGCGAGTGAGTGAGTGAGTGAGTGAGTGAGCGCGTGAGTGAGTGAGTGAGTGAGTGAGCGAGTGAGTGAGTGAGGGACGATAGAAGTGGAGGGTGGGTGAGTGAGCGAGTGAGTGAGCGCGTGAGCGCGTGAGTGAGCGAGTGAGCGAGTGACTGAGTGAGTGAGTGAGCGAGTAAGTGAGGAAATCGATAGAAGTGGAGGGTGGGTGGGTGAGCGAGTGACTGAGTGAGTGAGCGCGTGACTGAGTGAGTGAGTGAGCGAGTGAGTGAGGGAGGGACGATAAAAGTGGAGGGTGGGTGAGTGAGTGAGTGACTGAGTGAGTGAGTGAGCGAGTGAGTGAGTGAGTGAGCGAGCGAGTGAGGGACGATAAAAGTGGAGGGTGGGTGAGTGAGTGAGTGAGTGAGTGACTGAGTGAGTGAGTGAGCGAGTGAGTGAGTGAGGGACGATAAAAGTGGAGGGTGGGTGAGTGAGTGAGTGAGCGAGTGAGTGAGTGAGTGAGCGAGCGAGTGAGTGAGTGAGGGAAGCGATAGAAGTGAAGGGTGGGTGGGTGTCAGCTGGTGGCAGCGGTGGGTCCCTGCGTCGCTGACCGTGACGCTGCCCTCGAGGGGGCTGGCGAGGCGCACGAGGCCCACGTCGTAGTCCACGGCCGTGGGGCTGCACGCGGCGTCCCCGTAGCACGGGTGGGGCAGCAGGGCGCGCACCGACCGCACCACGGCGCCCGCCGGGATGCTGCCCGCCACCGTGGCCAGCGAGCCAAGCACCACCTGCAGGGAGTTGGGGTCACTGAGGGGGGAGGGAGGAGGGAGAGAGGGGGGAGGGGAGAAGGGAGGGGGGAAGGGAGGGGGGCGGGAGAAGTTATTCATGGTGAGGGGGTCCTTCACGCAGAGTTAAGCGTCGAACTGGGACCCCGGAGCGTCAAGGGCATTGCGGGCCCTTGACGAGGAGGATGACGAGCGAGAGAGTGAGCGAGCGAGTGAGCGAGATTGTGAGCGAGAGTGAGCGAGTGAGCGAGTGAGCGAGAGAGCGAGTGAGCGAGAGAGCGAGCGAGAGAGCGAGCGAGCGAGCGAGCGAATGAGTGAGAGAGAGAGCGAGAGAGTGAGCGAGCGAGTGAGCGAGAGAGTGAGCGAGTGAGTGAGCGAGCGAGTGAGCGAGAGAGAGAGCGAGAGAGTGAGCGAGCGAGTGAGCGAGATTGTGAGCGAGAGAGTGAGCGAGAGAGCGAGAGAGTGAGCGAGAGAGAGAGCGAGAGAGTGAGCGAGAGAGTGAGCGAGAGAGTGAGCGAGAGGTGGGGGTTTACATAAAGCAAAGTTATTATTAAAAAAAAAATTACGAAATGATGAACGAAGCAAAGTGCCGACTACACCGAGCATCTTCTTGTTTCCACTGATCGTAAAAAACCAAGGACGACTCACGTGTTGACGATGCAGTGAGCGGCCGTGACCAGCCACTCGTTGTTGATGAGCGAGGCGCCGCACCGATGCCTCCGTGCCACGGAGAGCGACGCCATCCAAGGCCAGCTGCCCGCCTGCGCCGGCTCTCCGTCTGGGTCGCGCGCACGCAGAGTTGAGCGAGCGAGTGCATGAGCGTTAGCGAGCGAGCGAGCGTGAGTGAGTGAGTGAGCAGGCGAGTGTGTATGAGTGAGTGTGTATGAGTGAGTGAGTGAGCGAGTGAGTGAGTGTGTATGAGTGAGTGAGTATGAGTGAGTCTGAGTGAGTGTGTATGAGTGAGTATGAGTAAGTGAGTGTGAGTGATTGTGTGAGTATGAGTGAGTATGAGTGAGTGAGTGAGTCTGAGTGAGTGAGTCTGAGTGAGTGAGTCTGAGTGAGTGAGTCTGAGTGAGTGAGTCTGAGCAAGTGAGTGAGTGAGTATGAGTGAGTGAGCGAGTGAGTGAGTCTGAGTGAATGAGTCTGAGTGAGTGAGCGAGTGAGTATGAGTGAGTGAGTATGAGTGAGTCTGAGTGAGCGAGTGAATGAGTCTGGGTGAGTGACTATGAGTGACTATGAGTGACTATGAGTGAGTGACTATGAGTAAGTGAGTGCCACTCACTGACGATGCGACCCGCTGGCTGTAGGGCTGGCTGCAGGCCGCACTCATTGGGCTCGCACGCCACGAAGATCAGTGAGTGAGTGAGTATGAGTGAGTGAGTCTGAGCGAGCGAGCGAGTGAGTGACTATGAGTAACTATGAGTGAGTGAGTATGAGTGAGTGCCACTCACTGACGATGCGACCCGCTGGCTGTAGGGCTGGCTGCAGGCCGTACTCATTGGGCTCGCACGCCACGAAGATCAGTGAGTGAGTGAGTCTGAGTGAGTGAGTGACTATGAGTGAGTCTGTGTGAATGAGTCTGAGTGAGTCAGTATGAGTGAGTGAGTATGAGTGAGTGAGTCTGAGCGAGCGAGTGAGTGAGTGACTATGAGTGAGTGCCACTCACTGACGATGCGACCCGCTGGCTGCAGGGCTGGCTGCAGGCCGCACTCATTGGGCTCGCACGCCACGAAGATCAGTGAGTGAGTCTGAGTGAGTGAGTCAGTCTGAGTGAGCGAGTCTGAGTGAGTGAGTGAGTCTGAGTGTGAGTGAGTATGAGTGAATGAGTCTGAGCGAGTGAGCGAGTGAGTGTGTGAGTGAGTGAGCGAGTGAGTGACTATGAGTGAGTGACTATGAGTGAGTGAGTGCCACTCACTGACGACGCGACCCGCTGGCTGCAGGGCTGGCTGCAGGCCGCACTCATTGGGCTCGCACGCCACGAAGATGAGCCTCTCGCTCGGACACTTGGTGGTCACGGCACCGATGGCGCTCTGCCGACGAGAAATCCGCCCGTGCGGCGTTTGGGGCAGTTAGGAAAACTGATTTTTTTTTTTGCTCGACACGGGAGGAGGAGGAAGCCTTGTGGGTCTTCTGCTCCCATACACACAACCGGTTTGTGCTGAACACGTACTGTTTACGGGACACGACATTTGCTATTTGGCCTTGTCGGGTGGTGTCGGGTTTAACGACACATTTATATATTTACGCGATTATCGTGTTCATCTGTGTGTTGAACTTCTTTCACACCATACGTAGCCACCCGTGCGTGGGTTTCGATGGGTTTCTGTGGGTCTGGGTGTCTGTGGATCTCTACGCATGGATGTTGAACTTCTTTCATACGGTACGTACCCAACCATGCTATGGGTGTCTCTGTGAGTCTATGGGTCTCTGTGGGTCTCTATGGGTCTCTGTGGTTAATGCAAACAAGATTCCTTGAAAAAAAGATTATGTTTGGTGGTTTAACATCTAAACAAAACTGTTTTACTATGGGCAGACAGGGTAAACCCCATTGTTATCTTTTGATGCCGGCAAAGAAAGGTCCCACATTTTAAACAATTCGTACTTAACCAGGTAAGGCCCTACCACACTGAGCTGTCCAGCTATTTTGTCAAAAGCGAGCCGACTCTAGCAAACGATAGTTCGACTAAGTGGGCGAATCATCATCGCAGCCATAAACTCATGCAAACAAAGACGCCCTGATAACAATGCGTAAGCTTTGTCCTTGAAACTGATTGGGCCTCCACCAGGCGAACTGGGCAAAGGACAACGCAAATAGCATCTTGATACTGGCACACATAAAAAATGGGTCCCATACAGCAAGGCCGTAGCCATGGAGACAACATTGGGGGGGAGCAAATCTTCCTGGGGGTCCCCCACTCCCAGAAAAAAAATCTCAATTTGAAAACTAATTTCCTGCCATTTCCTGCCTAAAATACTAAAAAAATTCACTAACACATAGGATGGACTTTTTAATTATTTTTTTACATTAACGTTCTTCACCTGAGGACGGCTGCTTGCGTTGTGGCCGAAACGTCGTGAGAATTTCATTTTATTATGTTTTATTTTTATTGTTTTATTATTTCCCTTCTATGTGACTTCACCGAAAGAACCAAGAATATGCTGTCTAATAGTGTATTCTATTACATTGCTCTGTTTTTTCTTTGTTTACCTTTTCTTGTTTCATTGTATGTAATGGCAGAGATTCGGGATTAATCAACTACAACCATAACCATAGTAGATAGCTTGCGTACATTACGCATCAAATACAACGGGGCATCGAACTCCGTCTTCTTCCACGCTTTTGTCCCACTCATGTGGAGGTCTTCCGCTGTTCTTGCGAAGCTTCTGCACGCTGCCATGTCCTGCGCCATTCTTTCTTTCTGCTCCTAGGGCCACCGTGGGCCGATCGCACTACATCGCCCCCCCCCCCACCTCTTCTTCATCCGCCTTCTTCCACGCTTTTGTCCCACTCGTGTGGAGGTGTTCCGCTGTTCTTGCGAACCTTCTCCACGCTGCCCTGTCCTACGCCATTCTTTCTTTCCCCTCCTAGGGCCACCGTGGGCCGATCGCACTACATCGCCCCCCCCCCCCCACCTCTTCTTCCTCCGCCTTCTTCCACGCTTTTGTCCCACTCGTGTGAAGGTGTTCCGCTTTTCTTGCCAGCTTCTCCACGCTGCCCTGTCCTGCGCCATTCTTTCTCTCCGCTCCTAGGGCCAACGTGGACCGATCGCACTACATCGCCCCCCCCCCCCCCACCTCTCCTTCCTCCGCCTTCTTCCACGCTTTTGTCCCACTCGTGTGGAGGTGTTCCGCTGATCTTGCCAGATTCTCCACGCTGCCATGTCCTGCGCCATTCTTTCTTTCCGCTCCTAGGGCCATCGTGGACCGATCGCACTACATCGCCCCCCCCCCCCCCGCACCTCTCCTTCGGCCTTCCTTCTCCATCCCTTTCCTTACCACTCACGTCACTCGCCCACCTTCTGACCCACGTCACTGTCTTGCTGTCTCTCCACACGACCGAATCACACCCACACAGCCTTTTCTCTCCTTTGTTTACGATCGGAGGAATCAAGAAGATGCTCGGTGTAGTTGGCACTTTGCTTCGTTCATCGTTTCGGGTTTTTTTCCCCCAATGCTTTGCTTTATGTGCCCCCCCACCCCCTGTTTTAAATGAAAGATTTCACGCTCTGATCTCCTCGTTCTTACCCCTTCCCCCTCTCTCTACCACTCTCTACCCCCTCTCTCTCTACCCCACCTTTCTCTCTACCCCCCCTCTCTCTCTACCGCCTCTCTCTACCCCCCCTCTCTCTTTCTACCCCCTCTCTCCTTACTCCATTCTATGCTCCCTCCTTGTTTTCTATGTAATTTTTGTAATGTTTTTTTCTCCCTTTCTCTGGTCTTCTCTGCGATTTATACCACCTTGAGTCGTTCCTTTTCTTCAATTTTTGACGATTCCCCCCCCCCCCCCCCACTTCGTCACACGACGTCACAAAAAGTCAGACCTCCCCTCAAATATGACGTCACAAAGCTCTGCCCCCTCCCAAAAATATAAAACATGCTTCAAATCGCTTTAAACTATTGTCATTGTAGTGCGTATTTAATGTCCCGCTGCACTCTGATGTAGGAAAAAACATTAATCAAAAAGTCTATTTAATTAAGTAGAACGTGTTGTCTATATTGATTTAAATCTGCGCATTTTGATGCGACGTCACATTTCTCACCCTCCCCCCCCAACCCCTTCCTCGTCACACATCGTCACAAATGTCTGACCCCCCCCCCCAAATGTCTGCTGCACCGTCCACGCGTCACCTGGAGGTAGTCGACGGGGTTGTCCGGCGCGTTGATGACGAGAGCGAAGCTCGTGTAGGCGTAGTCGGAGGCCAGCACCGACGTCGCGTACTTCGGGGGCCTGTGGCACGGCACGGCACGGCACGCGAGTGGAAAACCGCGCCGGCGATAACCGTGCCGGTGATAACCGCGCCGGCTAGCGGCAGACGCTCGCACGGCCAGTGGGCCCCCGCTTCAGAGCGCGTTAATTGGGGGGGGGGGGGGGGGGCTGCAGCGGTGACACTTTGCGGCCTGGCAAGAAGGGTAAAGCATCGTCATTGTCGTCATCTTTCGATTTAAAGCTTTCGTGACTGCAGGGATTCATCTTCTTGGTTCTTTCGGTAAAGTCACGTAGAAGGGAAGTAATAAAATAATAAAAATAAAACATAATAAAATAATTCTCACGACGTTTCGGCCACAACGCAAGCAGCCGTCCTCAGGTGAAGACCAGGTCTGTCGAGGCGACAGCGTCTGAATGAAACAGCACACGTGCTTGGAGCATGTATATAAGCTGGGTTGGAAGGGGGGAAAAGAGCGCCTTGACAAAAGAATATGCATATCAAGAGGCATAAAGCATATTTATGAGAAATGCACGAGCATGAGTAGTACTAATCACATACCTGCATTTCCCATAAATATGCTAAATGCCTCTTGATATGCATATTCTTTTGTCAAGGCGCCCTTTCCCCCCTTTCCAACCCAGCTTATATATATGCTCCAAGCATGGTGCTGTTTCATTCAGACGCTGTCGCCTCGACAGATCTGGTTTTCACCTGCGGACGGCTGCTTGCGTTGTGGCCGAAACGTCGTGAGAATAGTATTTCATTATGTTTTATTTTTATTATTTTGTTACTTCCCTTCTACGTGATGACTTTACCGAAAGAACCAAGAAGGTTGTCGTCGTCGTCGTCGTCGTCGTGAATTCTGGTGATCATCCTCGAAGCGGCGGCGGCTTGCGGCTGGCCATCGAACAAAGCCGGTGGTCACCGCATCATCCACAAATAATAGGGGAGCGGTGGCGCAGCGGTTAGCACACAGCCGCGCGACGAGTTCGATTCCCGCTCACGGCCACCAACACCGCCGGCGACGATTCGTCATCCGAACCGGTCCCTGGGCCTCTCCCCTAGGTCGGCTCGGCCTCAAACCGAGTGCCCCAACCGCAACGGGACTCGAAATTCAATACATCTCGGAGCAAACCTGGCAAAGCAGTTGCGGGTAGCGACATCATCATCAATAGCCAGCAGCTAACATCATCACACGCCTCGCCAAAGAGAAGCAGTTCCAGCCCATCGCGTTAGGGGTGAGCGAATTCAATGTTCGACCAAATATAACAACGGGCTGATTTTTAAGTTGAACATTTTACATGGCCCAGCGAATGATGTTGTATAAATATCCAAATTGCCCTTGGCAGAACCAAGGTTCTCCGCTCCTGCTATATGGGATGGGGGGAGGGGGTACCTTTGCCTTTGGGGCCGTCCATAAATGACGTCATCGATTTTTGACGATTTTTTACGATTTTTGACCCCCCCCCCCCTTCGTCACACGACGTCACTAAAAGTCAGACCCCCCCCCCCTCAAATATGACGTCACAAAGCTCTAGCCCCCCCTCCCAAAAAAATGTGGCGCTGCACTCTGATGTTGTAGGAGAAAACATTTTGATGTGACGTCACATATCTCAACCCCCCCCCCCCTCGTCACACATCGTCACAAATGTCTGACCCCCCCCCCGCCCCCAGGTGCGTGACGTCATTTATGGACGGCCCCTTTGTACTCACCCCTGGCTGACCTGGCGACACACGGCGACGGACAGGTGACCGTTCCAGTTGTCGGCGCAGGCCGCGTGGAACGACGCCGCCACGCTCACGTCCACCGTGCCGCTAGACAGCTGCAGGCTGCACACACAGACACACACACAGACACACACACAGACACACACACACACACAGACACACACACAGACACACACACAGACACACACACAGACACACAGACACACACACAGACACACACACACACACACACAGACAGACACACAGACACACACACAGACACACACACACAGACACACACACAGACACACACACAGACACACACACACAGACACACACACACAGACACAGACACACACACACAAGCACACACACACAGACACACAGACACACACACAGACACACACACACAGACACACAGACACACACAGACACACACACACAGACACACAGACACACACACACAGACACACACACAGACACACACACACAGACACACACACAGACACACACAGACACACACACAGACACAGACACACACACACAGACACACACAGACACACAGACACACACACACAAAGACAAAGGGTCCCCCTCGTGTGAGGCAAGTGCCGTGAGAGTCTCCGTGCACGTGACCCCCGTGAGAATCACCGTTGGCTACGTACGGCGCAGAAGAAGTTCAAACACCCGCGCCGCTCTCTCCGTGCTCCTGCGCACGCGTCCCCCCCCCCCCACGTACCCCCTACCCCCCTACCCCCCTCCTACCCCCCCCCACGTACCCCCTACCCCCCCCCAGGTACCTGTGTGACTCCCCCAGTGCCAGGTGGACACAGCCCTGTAGCCCCCCTACCCCCCTCCCACGTACCCCCTACCCCCCCTACCCCCAGGTACCTGTGCGACTCCCCCATCGTCAGGTGGACACAGCCCTGTAGCCCCCCTACCCCCCCTACCCCCCCTACCCCCCAGGTACCTGTGTGACTCCCCCAGTGCCAGGTGGACACAGCCCTGTAGCCCCCTACCCCCCCTACCCCCCCCCCCCACGTACCCCCTACCCCCCCCCCCCCCCACGTACCCCCTACCCCCCCAGGTACCTGTGTGACTCCCCCAGTGCCAGGTGGACACAGCCCTGTACCCCCCTACCCCCCCTACCCCCCAGGTACCTGTGTGACTCCCCCAGTGCCAGGTGGACACAGCCCTGTACCCCCCTACCCCCCCCCCCCCCCACGTACCCCTACCTCTCCTACCCCCCAGGTACCTGTGTGACTCCCCCAGTGCCAGGTGGACACAGCCCTGCTCGTCCTTCCCGTCGGCGCAGTCGTCTTTGCCGTCGCAGACGCGGAACGAGGGCACGCACGAGCGGTCCCCGCACGTGAACAGCAGCGGGCAGAAGGCTGCAGGCGGCCAAACAAACAAACAAACACACGGAGAACAACAACAAGAACAAGAACAACAACAAGAAAGCGATGACTTTGAAATTCAGACGCTGTTTTTCTGACAGACGCTGTTCTTCATCCGAGGACGGCTGTTTGCGGTGTGGCCGAAACGTCGTGAGAATTATTTTATTATTTTTATTATTTTATCATTTCTCTTCTACGTAACTTTACCGAAAGAACCAAGAAGATGAATCCCTGCAGTCACGAAAGCTTTAAATCGAAAAAAAAAGATGATGATGTTGATGATGTTGATGATGATGTTGATGATGATGATGTTGATGATGATATTGATGATGTTGATGATGTTGATGTGAAAGACGCTGTCTTTCCGACAGACCTTGTCTTCACCTGACGACGGCTGCTTGCGTTGTGGCCGAAACGTCGTGAGAATTGTATTTTATTATTTCTAGATTTGAAGCTTTCGTGACTTGCAAGGATTCATGCCCTTAGTGTTTTTCGGTAAAGTCACGCGGGTAAAAAAAATTAAATTAAAATTTATAAAATTAATAATAGAAATGTATTATTTTATTTCTATTATCACTTTTATTAATTTTAATTTAATTTTTTTACCCACGTGACTTTACCGAAAAAACTAAGAGTATGTATTTTATTATGTTTGATTATTTTATTATTTCATTTTTATTATTCCCCTTCTACGTGACTTTACCGAAAGAACCAAGAAGAACTCTCCAGAGACCTTTGTTAAATCCTTTATATTAAGTTCGCTTGCTTGCTTGCTTGCGTGCTTGCTTGCTTGCTTACGACTGTGCAAATCTTTCGGTCGTTTTTTAACCCACTTCCCGTGATCCAATCGAGCTGACATTTTCCACACAGACTCGTTGTGCGTGACAATTAATGTTCTTGAAAAAAAATTCCCCAAATTTTACACTTTTTAGGCAAATTTTTTTATTTTACATATATTCAAATAGAACTCATTCATGGCTTTGGCTGAACGTCACAGTACAAGAGCCCAGAGCGTAACCCCTCCACAGGCCGTGGCGGAGTAGCGCAGTTGGTAGCGCCCTCGCTTCCCATGCCAAAGGTCGCGGGATCGATCCCCGCGTCCTCCACAGGCGAATATATTTTTAAATCCTTTATATTAAGTTCGCTGCCACGCATATAACGGATTTATAGTGAAAAACTTAGTTTTTACGGGTTATACTTATTTTTTAACTAATTTTGGGCTACTAGGGTTTAGCAGCTTGTGGGCTTACCAACACCGTGACTGAGACAAATGCGGGGGGAAGAGGCGCTGATGGAAGTGGTAAATGACACTGGTCAACACACTTTTGTCTGGCATAAGGTATTCCAACGGGTTTAAGGTAATTTTGGAGTGCCGATTCCAAATCTGGCATCAGTTTTTGTCTATCACATCAGGTTTTTGAGATATCAAATATTGCGTGTTCAATAAAAACTGCGGAAGAAAAATATTCAATCAATGTGGATATCTACATGAAATTATATTATAAACACACTATCCTAAAAATTAACCCGTGAAAACTAAGATTTTCACTATAAATCCTTTATATGCGTGGCATCGGTTTTATGTTATTATTCATTTCTGTTTTTCTTGAGTAAGAGTTTCATTTTTATCACATTGGTATTTTAAATTAAATATGAAAAAAAAATTCCCTAAAAAGTGGAAAATTTAGGAAAAAATGTTTCACGAAAATAAATTGTCACGCACAACGAGTCTGTGTGCAAAATGTCAGCTCGATTGGATCACGGGAAGTGGGTTAAAAAACGACCGAAAGATTTGCACGGTCGTAAGCGCGCAAGCAAGCAAGCAAGTGAACTTAATATAAAGGATTTAAAAATACAGCACCATATTTTAACACTAAAGCAGCCACTGACTCGCAACAACTTTCGCGACTGCAGGGATTCACATCCAATGGTTCTTTCGTGTGCCACGTGTGTGTGTGCGCGTACCGCAGTCCGTGGGCGTCTCATCGGAGCCCTCTGAGCAGTCCACGTTCCCATCGCAGAAGAGCTCCTCGTAGACACACGCCGTGCTGCTGTTGTGGCACTGCTTCTGGCCCAGCGAGCAAACGTCTGCAGCGAGACACGCACAGAGGCAAAGGTTCCCTCGGTATAGCCTCGGCAGACTGGTGGGGCAAGTGCGTGTTTTTTTTTTTCGAATTCTTGTTATTTTTGCGTGCTGATCCCCTGATCAAGATGACGATGATTGCACGTTCTAGATATGTTTCGTGGAGATTTAAGCGTTGCGACCATTTGCGTGTTGTTAGCGAGCACCTGTTAAGGCTGTGAGGGCACACGACCAAAGACAAAGGTTCCCCGTATAGCATTCAACGGACTGCTGGGGCAAGTGCTGTTAGCGAGTAGCAACACCCCCTATGAAGGCCGGCACTGTGGCAACACGAGGTGGTGGGTGGGTGGGTGAGTGAGTGGGTGGGTGAGTGGGTGGGTGAGTGGGTCAGTGGGTGGGTGGGTGAGTGAGTGGGTGAGTGGGTGGGTGAGTGGGTGAGTGGGTGGGTGAGTGAGTGAGTGAGTGGGTGGGTGAGTGGGTGGGTGGGTGAGTGAGTGAGTGGGTGAGTGGGTGGATGGGTGGGTGAGTGGGTGGGTGAGTGGGTGGGTGGGTGGGTGAGTGAGTGAGTGAGTGGGTGAGTGAGTGGGTGAGTGGGTGGGTGAGTGAGTGAGTGGGTGGGTGAGTGGGTGAGTGGGTGAGTGGGTGTGTGGGTGGGTGGCTGAGTGGATGGGTGAGTGGGTGGGTGGGTGAGTGGGTGGGTGGGTGGGTGAGTGGGTGGGTGAGTGAGTGGGTGGGTGAGTGGGTGGCTGAGTGGGTGGGTGAGTGGGTGAGTGGGTGGGTGAGTGGGTGGCTGAGTGGGTGGCTGAGTGGGTGGGTGAGTGGATGGCTGAGTGGGTGGGTGAGTGGGTGGCTGAGTGGGTGGGTGAGTGGGTGGGTGAGTGGGTGAGTGGGTGGGTGAGTGGGTGGGTGAGTGGGTGAGTGGGTGGCTGAGTGGGTGGGTGAGTGGGTGGGTGAGTGGGTGGCTGAGTGGGTGGCTGAGTGGGTGGGTGAGTGGGTGGGTGAGTGGGTGGCTGAGTGGGTCGGTGAGTGGGTGGGTGGTTAGGTGGGTGAGTGGGTGAGTGCGTGGGTGGGTGGGTGAGTGGGTGGGTGGGTGAGTGGGTGGGTGAGTGGCTGAGTGGGTGGGTGGGTGAGTGGGTGGGTGAGTGGGTGAGTGGGTGGGTGAGTGGGTGGGTGAGTTTGTTGTTTGTTGGTATTTGGATCGTGACTCACCTGTCGAGGGTTCTTTGGGGGTTGTCGGTTTGCCTACGAGCCGAGGGATACAAATAACCCAACGTCAATTCCGAAGCGCTGGCACAAAACAACAATAACAACAACAATAACAACAACAACAAAAATAACCACAACAACAATCCGTCGCACTTCCCAATAGCGGACATAGCCCGCGAGGCTTTCGTGGCATCCTGACGTATGTCTGTGTGTGTGTGTATCTCTGTTTGTCTGTGTGTGTGTGTCTGTGTGTGTGTGTGTATCTCTGTGTGTCTGTGTGTGTGTGTGTCTGTGTGTGTCGGTGTGTGTCTGTGTGTGTGTGTGTGTGTCTGTGTGTGTGTGTCTGTGTGTGGGTCTCTCTGTGTGTGTGTCTCTGTGTGTGTGTCTCTGTGTGTGTGTCTCTGTGTGTGTATGTGAGTGTGTGTTGAGCTTCTTCTGCACCGTACGTAGCCAGCCGTGCTAATCGGGAGGTGCAGGGGAAGGACAACAACCTAAACACACACAATCGAACAATCGACTTCCTTCTGCTATAATAGCAATGCTATTGAATCAACAGCAAGAATAATCTTGTATCCGCGTGTCGTATCTACGGATTCGCCTGTGAGATCGAACTAACAGCCTGTTGGGGTCAAGTGCTGTTCGTAGCGGGTAGCAGCAGCACGTACGACGGCCGGCACTGTGGCAACACGAGGGGGAGGGTGAGTGGGTGGGTGGGTGAGTGGGTGGGTGGGTGGGTGAGTGGGTGGGTGGGTGGGTGAGTGAGTGAGTGGGTGGGTGGGTGAGTGGGTGAGTGGGTGAGTGGGTGGGTGAGTGGGTGAGTGGGTGGGTGAGTGGGTGGGTGAGTGGGTGAGTGGGTGGGTGAGTGGGTGGGTGGGTGGGTGTGTGGGTGGGTGGGTGAGTGGGTCGGTGGGTGGGTGAGTGGATGGGTGAGTGGGTGGGTGGGTGGGTGAGTGGGTGGGTGAGTGAGTGGGTAGGTGAGTGGGTGAGTGGGTGGGTGGGTGAGTGGGTAGGTGGGTGGGTGAGTGGGTGGGTGGGTGAGTGGCTGAGTGGGTGGCTGAGTGGGTGGGTGAGTGGATGGCCAGCAACCACGCACGCCCTGGCCACCTTTGCTAGGCACGCATCCCAGAGGCAGGGCCTTGGCATTTGGTGACCCACACTGCACTGATGAGTCCTCGAGCAAATCATCATTTAGCAACGGTCGCCCGGGCACAACGGGACCACAATGCAGTTCTCCAGGAGCCGGTGATGGTATTGTTGTTATTGTTGTTGTTATTGTTTACACTATGAGACATCTCCTTTACCAGTGGCAAAATATAGCAGTAGGTTTTACCCTTTAAACTGGTACAAAACTGACACCTTTATACAAGGCATCATGTTTGCAATATCTGGTCCAACACCAATGGAGACTAGGCTCTAAGGAAAGCTGTCTCGGGTGTGGACCAATCAACTTCAAGGACAGTGCATATCATTATCATCATCACAGTTGTTTCTTTTTGTTTGCATTTTGACTGCTTGTGTTGCGGTTATTGCAAACATGATGCCTCGTATAAAAGGTGTCAGTTTTGTACCAGTTTAAAGGGTAAAAACCTACTACTACGTTGTTATTGTTGTTGTTTGTTTGTTGTTTGTTTGTTTTTGGATCGTGGCTCACCTGTCGGGGGTTGTTTGGTGGTGGTCGTTTTGCCTGCACGCCAGGGACACACACACAACCCAACGTCAACATCGCAGCACCACGACGCCCCGTCCGCCTGTCTCCCCCGGTGGCGATGTTTACCGCACACCGCGCCGGGTGCACGTTTTGAGGCCGAGTCGACCTAGGGGAGGGCCCAGGAGCAGGACCAGTTGGTGTTGGCCGTGAGCGGGAATCGAACTCGGGTCGGCGGGTTCGTAGCACGGCAGCGCTAACCGCTGCACCACCGCTCCCCACACATGTGTACACACAAAGACAAAGATCCCCCGTATAGCCTCAACAAACTGTTGGGGCAAGCGCTGTTAACGGCACGCGAGGGGGTGGGTGGCCAGCACCACGCCCGGCCGCCTTTGTCTCCCCAGTGGCGATGTTTACTACACACCGCTCCACCAGGTACTCATTTGAGGCTGAGTCGACCTAGGGGAGGCCCAGGGACCGGTTCGTAGCGCAGCACGCTGACAGCTGCACCACCGCTCCCCATACGCACACACGCGTGCACACACATGACACACACACACGCATACACAAATGACACACACACGCGTTCACACACGTACACACGTGTTCACACACGTGCACACATGACACACACACACGTGTACACATGACACCCCCACACACACACGTGTACACACATGACACACACACACACACGTACACACGTGTTCACACACGTACACACACGTACACACATGACACACACACGTGTTCACACACACACGTACACACACACACGCGTGCACACATGACACACACACACACACGCACGCTTACACACATGACACACACACGCACGCGCCAGAGCGGTGTTGTGTGGGGGGAGGGCAGGTACAGATTGTCGCCTCACCTGGCTGAGTTGTTGTCTTGGGAGTACTCGTTTCTCCTGCACGCAAAGCGAGATGGGGGGGGGGTGGGGGGGGGACAAAAGTCAACTTTGGTCAATTTGCCACCGCAACAAACTCCACTCTCTCCACTTTGAAGGAGAGAAAAAAACGTGGACGTCTTCGTCACTTCCGACGCACGCTACCTCTGAACCAGCGGAAGTGGATATCAAAGAACTACCTCTGAGACCCCACCCCCCTTCTTCTTCAAGCGACACTGGTTGGCTCAGAACGGAACCCGCGGAAGCGGATATGAAAGAGCTACCCCTGAGGTCCCTCCTTCTTCAAGCGAGTGAATTCGTGGGTGAACAATTTGATTGACTAAGCGGGTGGGTGAGACGGGCGAGTGGGTAAATGGTTGGTTGATGCGGCGGTGTGTGAGTTCAAGCCCACGTTGTGTAAGCATGCGTATATTTGGAGTTTACGTCTCTCTCTCTCTCATCATGATCATCATCATCATCACGGTGGCTAGGAGATGTTAACTACCTCGCTTGATATGCAGGAGGTTGTGGGTTCGATCTCGACCCTGACGCCTGCTGCTGTATATTTGGAGTTTGCGTGTCTCTCTCTCATCATTATCACGGTGGCTAGGAGATGTTAACTACCTCGCCTGGTCTACAGGAGGTCGTGGGTTCGATCCCGACCCTGACGCCTGCTGCTGTATATTTGGTGTTTGCGTCTCTCTCTCTCCCCGTGGTCGCGTAGATTTTTCTCCGAGTCCTCCGGGTTTTCCCCTCCACATTTACAATGAACGTCACCACGCGCTGCTGCGCTCTATCCACTGCTGCTGCGCTCTCTCCGCTTCTCACCTGGCGGTTTCCCGGGCTCCGTGGGCTTCACACCTGGAGAAGGGCGAGAGAGACGCAATGCGGTCAGTCGTCGTCGTCATCGTCAACAGCCGCGTCGTCATCATTGTCATCGTCGTCATCGGCGTCATCGTCGTCATCAACATCTGCATCGTCGTCAACGTTGTCGTCCTAAAGAGGTCACGGTGCCGTGACCTTGGATAAGAGGTCACGAAGCCATGACCTTAAATAAGAGGTCACGCCGCCGTGACCTTAAACAAGAGGTCACACCGCCGTGACCTTAAATACGAGGTCACGCCGCCGTGACCTTAAACAAGAGGTCCACGACCTCCATCTACGGATGAGAGCGCGCGACGCGCACGCGGGTTCCGGAGCGACGGTCCTCACCGTTGACGTCCACGCTCGTCGAGTCGACCGTGAAGCGTCCGAGCCGGCCATCCGTGGACCCGCCGCCCAGGGGCACGATGGCCTCCTTGAGCGTCGCCAGCGCCTCGTCCACCACCGATTGCACGGAGGACCCGGAGAAGAACTCGAGCCCGAAGGAGGTGAGCACGCTGCCCGACCTGCCGCGGAAAGCGAGCGACGGGGGCGGCGTCGGTTCGAGGTTAGCGGTTGTTTATTGATGTGGTTGCCCCACCTGATGACGATTGCTTGTGTCGCGATCGAAACGTCGTGATTTGTTTAATTTTTCTGCTTGGTTCTTTTGGTAAAGTCACGAAGAAGGGAAATAATAAAATAATAAAAATAAAACATCATAAAATAATTCTGACGACGTTTCGGCCACAACGCAAGGAGCCGTCTTCAGGTAAATATGCTAAATTCCTCTTGATATGAACATTCTTTCGTCAAGGCGCTCTTCCCCCTCCAACCCAGCTTAAATATACGCTGCCAAGCCTTGTGGTGTTTCATTCAGACACTGTCTTTCCGACAGACCTGTTCTTCACCTGAGGACGGCTGCTTGCGTTGTGGCCGAAACGTCGTGAGAATTATTTTATCATGTTTCATTTTTATTCTTTTATTATTTTCCTTCTACGTGACTTTACCGAAAGAACCAAGAAGATGAATCCCTGCAGTCACGAAAGCTTTAAATCGAAATTGTTTAATTTTATTTCATTTCTACCTACGTGACTTTACTGAAAGAACCAAGAAGATGATTCCTGCAGTCACGAAAGCTTCAAATCAAGGTTACGGAGCGTTCGGCCATTGAATCGAGGCGCGGCAGCAACAACAACAACATCAACAACATCAACAACATCACCTCCCCCCCCCCCCCCGCGGCCCCCCACTACTACCACCTACGAAAACTTGGCAGCAACCCTCCCTGGCAAAGGGTCATGAGGCCTAGCGAGGCAATCCGTTGTAAACGAGCGCAACAATAGTACGACTAAGATACACACGGTATTCATCATGACGATGAATGGTAAATAAATGAATCGTGACGGTAGGAATGACATTTATGTGTTGTTGATTGAGCGCCGTTCGCGCCAGGGCATCGCAGATTCGGTGGTGGTTGTGGCGGCTACGCCGGTAAACCAGCACCGTGTCTTGCAGCAGCAGCGACGACTGCGAGGCTTGGCGGATCGCAAGTTCCCTGGTGGGTGTAGCGTCGCCTTTCTACCAGGAGAAGTAGAGGAGCAAAGTGTGTGGACCAATCTCCGTTTGTTCCACACTTCTTTCTACCAGTGGGTAGGAGTCGTACCCTTGTCTCTGCCAGGAGAAGGCCGACTAATCTGCATCTGTTCCATCTGTATGCAATAAATGCATTGCCCCCTGACGCACGCGGGTTTTCTCCGGGTGCTCCGGTCCACCCCCCCCCCCCCCCACATGCATGGCCACTCATTAATTGGCAGGAAACGTCTGAATATCGAGGGGGGTGTAGAGCTTGGACAACTGGTAGTGATGCCGGCTCACAGTCCGGCTGGCATCCTCCTGTTTGTATCTCTCCACGTAAAGAAAACGGGATTTTTACACATCCTACCAGTCGTACGGAATTCTGGGAGGGTATCTGACCCCCGTTTCCAGTGGCATCGGTTCAACGCGAGCCTCGCGAACACTCGTCACAAACACGCGGGGACAGGTGAGACTTTGAGTCCTTTCGTTCCCACTTCTCCACACACACAGCTCCCTCCTTCATCCACAGCTCCCTCCTTCATCCACAGCTCCCTCCTTCATCCACAGCTCCCTCCTTCATCCACAGCTCCCTCCATCATCCACAGCTCTCTCCTTCATCCACAGCTCTCTCCTTCACCCACAGCTCTCTCCTTCATCCACAGCTCCCTCCATCAGCCACAGCTCCCTCCTTCATCCTCAGCTATCTCCTTCATCCACAGCTCTCTCCTTCACCCACAGCTCTCTCCTTCACCCACAGCTCTCTCCTTCACCCACAGCTCCCTCCTTCATCCACAGCTCCCTCCTTCATCCACAGCTCCCTCCTTCATCCACAGCTCCCTCCTTCATCCACAGCTCTCTCCTTCACCCACAGCTTTCCTCCTTCACCCACAGCTCCCTCCTTCATCCACAGCTCCCTCCTTCATCCACAGCTCCCTCCTTCACCCACAGCTCCCTCCTTCATCCACAGCTCCCTCCTTCATACACAGCTCTCTCCTCCATCCTCAGCTCTCTCCTTCATCCACAGCATCACCCACAGCTCCCTCCTTCACCCACAGCTCCCTCCTTCATCCACAGCTCCCTCCTTCATCCACAACTCTCTCCTTCATTCCACAGCTCTCTCCTTCATCCACAGCTCCCTCCTTCATCCACAGCTCCCTCACTTCATCCACTGCTCTCTCCTCATCCACAGCTCACTCCTTCATCCACAGCTCCCTCCTTCATCCACAGCTCTCTCCTCCATCCTCAGCTCCCTCCTTCATCCACAGCTCCTTCCTTCATCCACAGCTCCCTCTTTCATCCACAGCTCTCTCCTTCATACACAGCTCCCTCCTTCATCCACAGCTCCCTCCTTCATCCACAGCTCCCTCCTTCATCCACGGCTCTCTCTTTCATCCACAGGTCTCTCCTTCATCCACAGCTCCCTCCTTCATCCACAGCTCCCTCCTTCATCCACAGCTCCCTCCTTCATCCACGGCTCTCTCCTTCATCCACATGTCTCTCCTTCATACACAGCTCCCTCCTTCATCAACAGCTCCCTCCTTCATCCACACCTCCCTCCTTCATCCAGAGCTCTCTCTTTCATCAACAGCTCCCTCCTTCATCCACAGCTCTCTCCTTCATCCACAGCTCCCTCCTTCATCCACAGCTCCCTCCTTCATCCACAGCTCCTCCTTCATCCACGGCTCTCTCCTTCATCCACAGGTCTCTCCTTCATCCACAGCTCCCTCCTTCATCCACAGCTCTCTCCTCCATCCTCAGCTCCCTCCTTCATCCACAGCTCCCTCCTTCATCCACAGCTCCCTCCTTCATCCACAGCTCTCTCCTTCATCCACAGCTCCCTCCTTCATCCACAGCTCCCTCCTTCATCCACAGCTCCCTCCTTCATCCACAGCTCTCTCCTTCATCCACATGTCTCTCCTTCATACACAACTCTCTCCTTCATCCACAGCTCCCTCCTTCATCAACAGCTCCCTCCTTCATCCAGAGCTCTCGCTTTCATCAACAGCTCCCTCCTTCATCCACAGCTCCATCCTTCATCCTCAGCTCCTTCCTTCATCCACACAGCTCCCTCCTTCATCCACAGCTCCCTCCTTCATCCACAGCTCCCTCCTTCATCCTCAGCTCCTTCCTTCATCCACACAGCTCCCTCCTTCATCCACACAGCTCCCTCCTTCATCCACAGCTCTCTCCTCCATCCTCAGCTCCCTCCTTCATCCAAAGCTCCCTCCTTCATCCACAGCTCCCTCCTTCATCCACAGCTCTCTCCTTCATACACAGCTCCCTCCTTCATCCACAGCTCCCTCCTTCATCCACAGCTCTCTCCTTCATCCACATGTCTCTCCTTCATACACAACTCTCTCCTTCATCCACAGCTCCCTCCTTCATCAACAGCTCCCTCCTTCATCCACACCTCCCTCCTTCATCCAGAGCTCTCTCTTTCATCAACAGCTCCCTCCTTCATCCACAGCTCCCTCCTTCATCCTCAGCTCCTTCCTTCATCCACACAGCTCCCTCCTTCATCCACAGCTCCCTCCTTCATCCACAGCTCCCTCCTTCATCCTCATCTCCTTCCTTCATCCACACAGCTCCCTCCTTCATCCACAGCTCCCTCCTTCATCCACAGCTCCCTCCTTCATCCGCAACTCTCTCCTTCATCCACAGCTCCCTCCTTCATCCACAGCTCCCTCCATCATCCACAGCTCCCTCCTTCATCCACAGCTCCCTCCTTCATCCACAGCTCCCTCCTTCATCCGCAACTCTCCTCCTTCATCCACAGCTCCCTCCTTCATCCACAGCTCCCCCCTTCATCCACAGCTCCTCCTTCATCTACAGCTCTCTCCTTCATCCACAGCTCCCTCCTTCATCCACATCTCCCTCCTTCATCCACATCTCCCTCCTTCATCCACAGCTCCCTCCTTCATCCACAGCTCTCTCCTTCATCCACGTCTCTCCTTCATCCACAGCTCCCTTCTTCATCCACAGCTCTCTCCTTCATCTACAGCTCTCTCCTTCATCCACAGCTCCCTCCTTCATCCACATCTCCCTCCTTCATCCACAGCTCCCTCCTTCATCCACAGCTCCCTCCTTCATCCACAGCTCTCTCCTTCATACACAGCTCTCTTTTTCATCCACAGCTCTCTTTTTCATCCACAGCTCCCTCCTTCATCAACAGCTCCCTCCTTCATCCACAGCTCCCTCCTTCATCCACAGCTCCCTCCTTCATCCACAACTCTCTCCTTCATCCACAGCCTCCCTCCTTCATCCACAGCTCTCTCCTTCATCCACAGCTCCCTCCATCATCCACAGCTCCCTCCTTCATCCACAGCTCCCTCCTTCATCCACAGCTCTCTCATCCATCCTCAGCTCCCTTCTTCATCCACAGCTCCCTCCTTCATCCACAGCTCTCTCCTTCATCTACAGCTCTCTCCTTCATGACACAGCTCCCTCCTTCATCCACAGCTCCCTCCTTCATCCACAGCTCTCTCCTCCATCCTCAGCTCCCTCCTTCATCCACAGCTCCCTCCTTCATCCACAGCTCTCTCCTCCATCCTCAGCTCCCTCCTTCATCCACAGCTCTCTCCTTCATCCACAGCTCTCTCCTTCATCCACAGCTCTCTCCTTCACCCACAGCTCTCTCCTTCATCCACAGCTATCTCCTTCACCCACAGCTCCTTCCTTCATCCACACCTCCCTCCTTCATCCAGAGCTCTCTCTTTCATCAACAGCTCCCTCCTTCATCCACAGCTCCCTCCTTCATCCACAACTCTCTCCTTCATCCACAGCCTCCCTCCTTCATCCACAGCTTTCTCCTTCATCCACAGCTCCCTCCTTCATCCACAGCTCCCTCCTTCATCCACAACTCTCTCCTTCATCCACAGCTCCCTCCTTCATCCACAGCTCCTTCCTTCATCCACAGCTCCCTCCTTCATCTTCAGCTCCCTCCTTCACCCACAGCTCCCTCCTTCATCCACAACTCTCTTCTTCATCCACAGCTCCCTCCTTCATCCAGAGGTCCCTTCTTTATCTACAGCTTCATCCACAGCTCCCTCCTTCATCCACAGCTCCCTCCATCATCCACAGCTTCCTCCTTCATCCACAGCTCTCTCCTTCATTCACAGCTCCCTCCTTCATCCACAGCTCCCACCATCCACAGCTCTCTCCTTCATCCACAGCTCCCTCCTTCATCCACAGCTCTTTCCTCCATCCTCAACTCCCTCCTTCATCCACAGCTCCCTCCTTCATCCACAGCTCTCTCCTTCATCTACAGCTCCCTCCTTCATCCACAACTCTCTCCTTAATCCACAGCCTCCCTCCTTCATCCACAGCTTTCTCCTTCATCCACAGCTCCCTCCTTCATCCACAGCTCTCTCCTTCATCCACAGCTCCCTCCTTCATCCACAGCTCGCTCCTTCATCCTCAGCTCCCTCCTTCATCCTCAGCTCTCTCCTTCATCCACAGCTCCCTCCTTCATCCACAGCTCCCTCCTTCATCCACAGCTCCCTCCTTCCTCCACAGCTCCCTCCATCATCCACAACTCTCTTCTTCATACACAGCTCCCTCCTTCATCCACATCTCTCTCCTCTCCCATCACTCCTGTCGACGTCTCTCTCTCATCCCCACAGCCCCCCTTCTCTGATTCCCTCCCCTCGTCAGTGTTTCCTCATTCCCAGCAACCGATCTCCCTCCCATCACGCCTCGGCGTTTCTCCCGGTCAGCGTGTAGGGGCTAACGAATGCCGATGCCGCGGGCACCGTTACGCAAGCGTCGGCATTTCAGCGAAGTGGTCGCCAGCGTCGGGCCTGGCTTTGCCCTGAACCAACACGTGGCTGGTGAACTGCCCCCAACTCAAGGGGCAAGGATCGTTTGGCCCGCACTTTGATCCCGTTGTTCTGCGGGCCCCTGCTCACCTGAACGTCAGCACCTTGCAGCTGATGTAGTCATTCTTCATAGCGCTGGCGGAATAGACGTCGTTGATCTGAAAGAGGAACCGGGGGAAGGGGTGGGCGGGTGGGGGAGGGGCGATTCTCACGTGAGTCCACAGGTCTTTATGCGAGTCTATTGGTCTCTGTGTGAGTTATATGAGTCTCTATGTGAGTCTATGAGTCACTATGTGAGTTTATGGGTCTTTACGTGAGTTTATGGGTATATGTGTGAGTCTATAGCTCTCTATGTGAGTCTATGAGTCTCTATGTGAGTTGATGGGTCTCCATGTGAATCCATGGGTCTCGATGTGAGTCTATGGGTCTCTATTGGAGCTCATGGGTCTCTATGTGTGTCTATGAGTCTCTATGTGAGTTGATGGGTCTCTATGTGAGTCTATGAGTCTCTATGTGAGTTGATGGGTCTCTATGTGAGTCTATGGGTCTCTATTGGAGCTCATTGGTCTCTATGTGTGTCCGTGAGTCTCTATGTTGGTCCATAGAGTTCTATGTGAGTCTATGAGTCTCTATGTGAGTCTATGCGTCCTAAGCTAGTCTATGGGCAACCCAGTTTAACCCAGTGCAACCCCGTGAGTAACCCCGCGTGTGACCCCCTGTGTGACCCCATGTGTGACCCCGTGTCTGACCCCGTGTCTGACCCCGTACGTGACCCCGTACGTGACCCCGTGCGTGACCCCGTGCGTGACCCCGTGCGTGACCCCGTGCGTGACCCCGTGTCTGACCCCGTGCGTGACCCCATGCGTGACCCCGGGGTGCGCGACCGTTTTCTCGAAGTCGAAGGCGAGCGTCTTGAACTCGGCCGACTCGCGGTCGAGGAGCGCCGGCGTGAACTCGACTCCGGTGACGATCTTCATGCTGCCAGACAGCGCAGTCCTCTCTGCGGGGCGCACAGAATGGAGTCAACCAGTGGGCTCCATCTCCTCCTCCTCCTCCTCATTCTCCACCTCCTCCCCCTGCTCCTCATCCTCCTCCTCTTACTCCACCCCCTCCCTCTTCGCTTCCTACTTCACCTCCACTTGCTCCACATGCTCCTCCGCTTGCTCCTACTGCTTTCCTCCTTTTGCTCCTCACCCTGCTCCTCTCCATCCTCCTGCCAGAGGTCGCAAACGGGTTTTGATTCCTTACCCGTACCCGTACCCGACCGCACCAGGGTAGCAAACGGTACCCATACCCGTACCTGGCCGTACCCGTACCCTACCCATACCCGGCCGGGTACGGGTAGGGTACGGGTATTGGGTACCCGATTGCGACCTCTGGGATGAAGCCATGTTGCAGGCGCGGGTGGGTTGATTCTAGGACTTGAATTGTGAGAAGAGACAAGACGTTGAGAAATGAGTGACAAACAGTTACTCACCAGTGACTCACGGTCTACCCGTACCCGGCCGCACCAGGGTCGCAAACGTACCCATACCCGTACCCGGCCGGGTACGGGTAGCTGGGTATCGGGTAGGGTACGGGTATCGGGTACCCGGTTGCGACCTCTGCCTCCTGCTCCACTGTCTCCTCCTCCTACTGCTCCTCCTCATCCAATGCCTCCTCCACCTGCTCGTCTTAATCTTCCTCCTGCTCCACCTCCTCCTACTTCTCCTCCACCTCCTTTTGCTCCACCACCTCCACCTCCTGCTCGTAAGCATCCCTCCATACAACAGTATTTCCATTTGTTTGAACAGATCCCGTCAGCCAGGCGTGGCCTTCTGTGAGCGAATCGCTTAAGCGGCGTCGGTGTCTCAGCGCAAGCAAAACCCTCCTGGAGCCAGCTTAGACATCCGACGTCTCATCAGCGGCAGAGTTCACCCGTCGCTTCAATCGATGCCGGTGAACTGGCTGGTTTTGACAATCGGCGTTCTCATCAGCAGAGTCAGGCTTGCAGGGCTCAACGTCATCTCCGCGTGCGAAATCGGTTGACGGAGCGCCAACATCTGGTCGGTGCTGCGCCTCCATTGCCAGTGGTGTGCGAGCCCGGCCAACGACGATGACGCGGCGTTTACCGCGTCCGCAATTATGGGGTTATAGTAGTAGGTTTTTTCCCTTTAAACTGGTACAAAGCTGACACCTTTATACAAGGCATCATGTTTGCAATAACCGCAACACAAGCAGTCAAAATGCAAACAAAAGAAACAAAAGCCCTTTTGGCGTCATCTGGTCCAACATCAATGGAGACTAGGCTCTAAGGAAAGCTGTCTCGGGTGTGGATCAATCAACTTCAAGAACAGTGCATATCATTACCATTATCAGAGTTGTTTCTTTTTGATTGCATTTTGACTGCTTGTGTTGCGGTTATTGCAAACATGATGCCTTGTATAAAAGTGTCAGTTTTGTACCAGTTTAAAGGGTAAAAACCTACTACTATATTTTGCCACTGGTAAAGGAGATGTCTCATAGTGTAAATTATGGGGTTGCTCGGGTAAAGGATCACGCGAATATGAATGAGTCGTTAAAACCCGCCACCACCCGACCACACGGTCAGTCAGTAAGGGGCTTTTTTCGCGTGAACAGAACACGGCAAACCTCTTACCGAGTGGCTATGCCGGGTGGCGGCGGGTTTAAGCGACGCGTCGATATTCACGCGATCTAACCCGAGGGATTAAAACAAACTCTCGTGTCATTAACATCGTGGGGCGATGTTCCGGGCAACGACCCTTCGTCAGGGCACATGAAGAATATATCATAGGTGACCTTTCGCAGGCAAAGGCTCAATGGCCCCTCTTTCTGTGCTATGAAGCAAAGTCGCATACTATACAGTGAGGGAAACAAGTATTTGATCCCTGCTGATTTTGTACGTTTGCCCACTGACAAAGAAATGATCAATCTTTAATTTTAATGTAGGTTTATTTGAACAGTGAGAGACAGAATAACAGCAACACAATCCAGAAAAACGCACGTCAAAAATGTTATAAATTGATTTGCATTTTAATGAGGGAATAAGTATTTGAACGTACAAAATCAGCAGGAGATCAAATACTTTTTTCCCTCACTGTGTATGTTTTCTTATGAAGGCCACACACACAGACACAATAAGAATCACGCCAGCGGTGTTATCATTGACATTGGATCATCGTTCGGGCGTATGTTACCCTACGGAGACCTCAATGATTTGGGGCTTCCACGCAACCTGGAGGAAGTCGAACCCATGCTGGGCAATGTGAGTGGATAACAAGAGCACCATTCTGAAAGGTGGGACTCTTAGCTATCTACAAATCTCAACGCTTAGCTATCTACAAATTTCAACGCTTAGCTATCTACAAATCTCAACGCTTAGCTATCTACAAATCTCAACGCTTAGCCATCTACAAATCTCAACGCTTAGCCATCTACAAATCTCAACGCTTAGCTATCTACAAATCTCAATGCTTAGCCATCTACAAATCTCAACGCTTAGCCATCTACAAATCTCAACGCTTAGCCATCTACAAATCTCAACGCTTAGCCATCTACAAATCTCAACGCTTAGCTATCTACAAATCTCAACGCTTAGCTATCTACAATCTCAACGCTTAGCTATCTACAAATCCCAACGCTTAGCCATCTACAAATCTCAACGCTTAGCTATCTACAAATCTCAACGCTTAGCTATCTACAAATCTCAATGCTTAGCTATCGACACATCTCAACGCTTAGCTATCTACAAATCTCAACGCTTAGCTATCTACAAATCTCAACGCTTAGCCATCTACAAATCTCAACGCTTAGCTATCTACAAATCTCAATGCTTAGCTATCTACAAAATCTCAACGCTTAGCTATCTAAAAATCTCAACGCTTAGCTATCTACAAATCTCAACGCTTAGCTATCTACAAATATCAACGCTTAGCTATCTACAAATCTCAATGCTTAGCTATCTACAAATCTCAACGCTTTGCTATCTACCAATCTCAACGCTTAGCTATCGACAAATCTCAATGCTTAGCTATCTACAAATCTCAAAGCTTAGCTATCTACAAATCTCAAGCTTAGCTATCTACAAATCTCAACGCTTAGCTATCTACAAATCCAACGCTTATCTATCTACAATCTCAACGCTTAGCTATCGACAAATCTCAACGCTTAGCTATCTACAAATCTCAACGCTTAGCTATCGACAAATCTCAACGCTTAGCATCTACAATCTCAACGCTTAGCTATCTACAAATCTCAACGCTAGCTATCGACAAATCTCAACGCTTAGCTATCGACAAATCTCAACGCCTTAGCCATCTACAAATCTCAACGCTTAGCTATCTACAAATCTCAACGCTTAGCCATCTACAAATCTCAATGCTTAGCTATCTACAAATCTCAACGCTTAGCTATCTACAAATCTCAACGCTAGCTATCTACAAATCTCAACGCTTAGCTATCTACCAAATCTCAACGCTTAGCTATCTACAAATCTCAACGCTTAGCTATCTAAAAATCTCAAACGCTTAGCTATCTACAAATCTCAACGCTTAGCTATCTACAAATCTCAAGTCTTAGCTATCTACAAATCCTCAACGCTTAGCTATCTACAATCTAAACTGCTCGCCGTTTAACGCAATGCACGAGGTGTTTTACGGGTGGCGATCAACGTTGAAGCTTGCCACAGTTCGTGAGACTAGTGGTCACAGGCTGGCAGGTCCGCCGCTAGACTGACGATCCCACGGATCGTTACTGTTCAAATTCTTTCGATGGCAATTTATATATTCTTGGGTTTTTTTCGGTAAAGTCACGTAGGTAAAAAAATAAAAATTTTAATTAATAAAAGTAAATAAAATAAAATTATATAATAAAATATATATTTGTTCCTATGGTTTTATTGTTCGTACAGGGTTGCCCAAAAGTTATGACACATTAAGTTATTACAGCAACAGTATATTTATTTAATACTGGCATTAAAATTTAAATCATTTCTTATTTTTGTAAATTAGTTTTAATCTGCTATCTAAATTATATCTGCCCCCCCCCCCCACTCCTTTTCAGATAACAATAAATAATGTAAACATTTTTTTTACAGAATTGAGATTTTTAAAAAAACATCATCACCACGCCGTAGTGAGGAGCCGGCGCTACCAACTAATTGCCTAAGTTCTGCGATCCTCTACATATACTGAGATGTTATCGGCCACATGAGTGTTTATATCCACCGCGGCGGGAGGATACCAGGGCACTCAGAGATAATTCACAGCGTACTGTGCGAGGGAGAAACACTATCCCGTATCACAGGTCACCTGTCTTTTTTGCCAGTATCAAAGTCTGAAACAACGGAATAGCTTGTACCCTGTCTGGCAATAAAACAGGAGCTGCGATAAGATGTTCAGATACCAAATAGGTGCCGTTCGCAAGGAATCAAGTCTGCATTAACCATGCTTACCTGTGGTGAACACGCAAAACAAACACGTTTGGATAATACATGCATTGTATTTGAAACTGATAGCACCATGTAATAAAATGTTTGTTCCTGGGTAGTATTATAATATATGCATAACATATTTTATATTATAATATATCCTAACATATGCTGTGGCCGGTGTAGGCCAATCAGTTTCAAAGACAATGCAAATATTAGCAGAGCATGTTTGTTTGCGTGCTCACCACAAGCACTCTGTGTGGTTAATTGAGACTTAATTCCTGAGAAAAAATATCTACTTGGTGTTTGAACATCTTACCACAGCTCCTGTTTAAACAACTTTATTTTTTATACTTTGACACTGACAAACAAAAGGTTGTCCCACGATATGGACACGACCTGTACGGGATAGAGTGTTCTCCCTCGCACGCACGCGTGAGTTATTGCCGATAAACGTCTCAGCATACGTAAAGGACCGCAGAACTTGGGCAATTCGTCGCTGAGCGCCAGCACCGCCGCCGCCGGCAACACACCGATTAGAAAACGCGCAATCGGTGACCTGTCTTGCCGCTCTGTTTGCTGTCCTCCACGGCGAGCCAGGCGACGGCGATGAGAGCGGCGCAGGCCACCACGAACAGAGAGGCCGTCACCGTCAGCGCGATCTCCAGTCGGCTCCATGAGCGTCGCTGCTTCTTCTTCTTCCCAGCCACCGCACTCGCTCGACCCGCCATCGACTGCTGCTGCTGCTGCTGCTGCGGCTGCTGCGGCCTTCCCCGCGACCCATGGCTCGCTCCGAAGCGCGACTTGGCGGACGGTCGGTGGGTCAGCGCAGTTCGCGCCGCTTGGGAGTCGGGGCGGCGGTGCTGTTGCTTTGCGAGCGAGAGCACGGCAGCGGTCGGTGCCGGGTGGTCCACGGTATTTATCCTCCGGCCCCCCCCCGACGACGACGACGACGCCCCCGATCACCGCGACCCCCCTCCGTCCCCTCCGGTTGTTGGACATAGCCACCCACACGATGCCCGACACCCGCCCACCCACACGCCTGGTCACCCACCAACCCAACCAACACACAAAGCCACCCACCCACCCACCACTCCACCCACCCACCAAACCAACTCACAAACCCACCCACACACTTGTCCACCCACCAACCCAACCAACACACAAACCCACCCACCCACACAATTGTCCACCCACCAACCCAACCAACACAACGAAACCACCCACCCAAACTGGCCACCCACCCAAACCAACACACGAACCCGCCCACCCACCACTCCACCCCACCCACCCAAACCAACACACAAACCCAACCCACCCACAAAATTTGTCCACCCACCCACCAAACCAACACACAAACCCACCCGCCCACCCACCACTCCACCCACCCACCAAACCAACACGCAAACCCACCCACCCACACACTTGTCCACCCACCCACCAAACCAACACACAAACCACCCACCCAACTGGCCACCCACCCAACCAACACACGAACCCGCCCACCCACCACTCCACCCACCCACACACAAACCCACCCACACAATTGTCCACCCACCAACCCAACCAACACACGAACCCACCCACCCAGACACCTGTCCACCCACCCTTCCAACCCCCCCCCATCCCCCTCTATTTCATGATCGAATTGTGCCGGTTGCAAAACGTATTCAACTACAAACTATTTTTATTGCTTGCCAGGTAAGGTCCCACTGAGCGATGCAGTTCTCTTTGAGGAGCGACCCCGGGCGATCGCAAATGATAGCTGCTCAACGCCGTGGATGTCTTATCACCACCATCATCACCACCATCATCATCACCATCATCATCAGCACCACCACCGCCATCATTACCATCATCATCACCACCATCATCATCACCACCACCATCATCATCATCATCACCATCACCACCGCCATCATCACCATCATCATCACCACCATCATCATCACCACCACCATCATCATCATCACCACCACCACCACCATCATCATCATCACCATCATCCTCACCACCACCACCACCATCATCATCAGCACCACCACCGCCATCATCACCATCATCATCACCACCACCATCATCACCACCACCATCATCACCACCACCACCATCATCATCATCATCACCACCACCATCATCACCATCATCATCAGCACCACCACCGCCATCATCACCATCATCATCACCACCATCATCATCACCACCACCCATCATCATCATCACCACCACCATCATCATCATCACCACCACCATCATCATCACCACCACCATCATCATCACCACCACCACCATCATCACCACCACCACCATCATCATCACCACCACCACCATCATCATTATCACCACCATCATCATCGTCACCACCACACCATCATCATCATCGTCACCACCACCACTACCATCATCACCACCACCATCATCGTCACTACCACCACCATCATCATCACCATCATCACCATCGCGTGGAAATGTACAGCAGCAGCCAAATCACTCTGAACGCGTGGTGATGGTGAGTCTAAATGTGGAGGGGGAAACCGGAGGACCCGGAGAAAAATGCACGCGACCACGAGGAGAGAAACACGCAAATTCCAAATATACAGCAGCAGCAGACGTCAGGCTCGGGATCGAACCCACGAGCTCCTGTAGACCAGGCGAGGTAGTTAACATCTCCTAGCCACCGTGATGATGATGAAATAGAGACAATGCAAACTTAAAATATACAGCAGGCATAGGGGTTGGAATCGAACCCCCGACCTCCTGCATACCAGGCGAGGTAGTTAACATCTCCTAGCCACCGTGATGATGATGAGAGGGACACGCAAACTCCAAATATACAGCAGCAGGCGTCAGGGTCGGGATCGCACCTACGATCTCCTGTAAACCAGGCGAGGTAGTTAACATCTCCTAGCCACTGTGGCGCCCGTATCTGCAGCCGGCAGGTGCACACATTGTGTATCTCTCTCTCTCTCTCCTTCTCCAAGGCGCCTCCGTTATCTGCCGTGGAACACGTGAACGGCAGGATTTGACCTCGCCGTCCCCCGAAAAAATGCGGTTTATATGGTGCGCAGGTCCAAGTTTCAAAGAAATACATTTCTGGGATATCGCGCGAGAGATAGGCGCGCCGGCGGTCTTAAAAACAACAACTAAACTACGTTGGGGTTTTTTTTTATTTAACGAGGCTTAAGGCCCCACTGAGCAACGTTGCGAATTTTTTTCTTTCAAGGAAACCACCTGGCCACAAATGATGGATCAACGAAAGTGGTGCTTATCGTGGTCATCGTGTGGAAATTTGTAGAAGTCGCCAAATACTCTGAACGCGTGGTGATGGTGAGTCTAAATGTGGAGGGTAGAACCGGAGGACCCGGAGAAAATCCACGCATCCACGAGGAGACAGACACCGCAAACTCCAATATACAGCAGCAGCAGGCGGTAAAGGGGTTGGGATCGAAGCCACGACCTCCTGTAGACCAGGCGATGTAGTCAACAACTCCTAGCCACCGTGGGATCGAGCCCACGACCTTCCTGTAAACCAGGCGAGGTAGTTAACATCTCCTAGCCACCGTGATGATGATGAGAGAGACACTCAAACTCCAAATATACAGCAGCAGGCGTCAGGGTCGGGATCGAGCCCACGACCTCCTGTATACCAGGCGAGGTAGTTAACATCTTGCCACTGTGGTGAGGGTGGTGGTGAGTTGGTAGGGTTTTGGTGAGGGTGGTGGTGAGTTGGTAGGGTGGTGGTGAGGGTGGTGGTGAGGGTGGTGGTGAGGGTGGTGGTGAGTTGGTAGGGGGGTGGTGAGGCTGGTGGTGAGTTGGTAGGGTGGTGGTGAGGGTGGTGGTGAGTTGGTGAGGGTGGTGGTGACGGTGGTGGTGAGGGTGGTGGTGAGTTGGTGAGGGTGGTGGTGAGGGTGGTGGTGAGGGTGGTGGTGAGTTGGTAGACTGGTGGTGAGGGTGGTGGTGAGTTGGTAGACTGGTAGTGAGGGTGGTGGTGAGTTGGTAGGGTGGTGGTGAGGGTAGTGGTGAGTTGGTAGACTGGTGGTGATGGTAGGTGGTGAGGGTGGTGGTGAGCTGAGTAGGGTGGTGGTGAGCTGAGCAGGTGAGTGCTTGTCGGAGGCGGTGAACCTTCGTGGTTTTGGGGCCAGGTGGCGATTTGTGGCCATGCTAAATTAATGGTCAGCCGTGGTGAGCCAACGATTTTGCGAAATTCTTGCATGGGACAGCCACTTTGTGTGTGACGCCTGTCCTAAGTTTCTGCTTTCTCCTCGAATCGCTCGGAAGATGTTGACTACTTCGCCTGGTACACAGGAGGTCGTGGTCTCGATCCACCGGGGCTATGAATGTTGTGACTACCTCGCCATGGTACAGATGGAGTCGTGGTCTCGATCCCACGGTGGCTATGAGATGTTGACTACCTCGCCTGGTACACAGGAGGTCGTGGTTTCGATCCCACGGTGGCTATGAGATGTTGACTACCTCGCCTGGTACACAGGAGGTCGTGGTCTCGATCCCACGGTGGCTATGAGATGTTGACTACCTCGCCTGGTACACAGGAGGTCGTGGACTTGATCCCACTGTGGCTATGAAATGTTGACTACCTCGTCTGGTACACAGAAGGTCGTGGTCTCGATCCCACGGTGGCTATGATATGTTGACTACCTCGCCTGGTACACAGAAGGTCGTGGTCTCGATCCCACAGTGGCTAGGAGATGTTGACTACCTCACCTGGTATGCAGGAGGTCGTGGGCTCGACCCCACGGTGGCTAGGAGATGTTGACTACCTCGCCTGGTATACAGGAGGACGTGGGCTCGATCCCGACCCTGACGCCTGCTGCTGTATATGTGGATTTTGCGGTGTCTCTCTCCCCGTGGTCGCTTGGGTTTTTCTCCGGCTCCAGCGGTTTCTCCCCTCCACAATTTAGAATCAGCGTCACCACGCGTCGAAAAATGTTTGGCTGCTGTTATCCACATCCACGTGATGATGGTGGTGATGAAAAGCCCCCACGTCCTGTGAGCAATCATTTTTGATGGCCAGGTCGCGTTTAAAAAAGATAGATCCTGGTTTGGGCCTTACACCTGTTAAATTAAAAGTTAAACAGTTAAGTTTAAAGGCCAATTTAAAGAGGTGATCGTTTCAGTACAGGACTTAAATAAATCATAGATAACGACCAATCGGATGATGAACTGCAGGTCGAGTTCCACACCGGCATCGATGGGACTTGTTTTTTGTGTGTTGTTGCCAGCATTAAAATGATAAAATAAAATAAACAACAACAGGCGTTTAGCCCCCCCCCCCCCACCACGCGTTCTGCCAATAAACCCAAGAGGGTCCAGATGTCCACCCACCGCATTGGATGCACCCATTGCATACCTGTTAACCCCTTATCAGTGCCCTACCTTGTTACAGACCGATTCAGACCTCATTACTCACCTCATGCCCCTTATACATCTCAACGTTCATCTTACAAAGTCCCATCAAGGGAGAAACACAAACAAACAGACACAATTTTTGTTTTGCCCCGTATTGAAACGGCTGTATGGAATCTGAAAACTCAATTTCTCTATACAATAATACGAGTAGACCGTATGGTTTGACAGGTTTGTAATTCACTGTGTGAGTCTATGTGTCTCTGTGTGAGTCTATGGTTATCTGTGCGAGTCTATGTGTCTCTGTGATGAGTCTATGGGTCTCTGTGTGAGTCTATGGGTCTCTGTGTGAGTCTATGGGTCTCTGTGTGAGTCTATGGGTCTCTGTGCGAGTCTATCGGTCTCT